TTTAGAGTAATTAATTGAGCTTGCGTAACACTATCGAAAGATTAGTTTTTTTTAATGTTTAATAAAATTTAATTACCAGTCTTAACTGCTTTGTAGGTATAAACATTTATAGAGTTTACACTGTATTAGTTAAACTTATTTTAAAACTGACATCTCCCCGTCACCACGGCTGCTACAAAGTATCCGAAACATCGGGCCGTAGTTACAATAATTTTCAAAAAAGCTTAACTAATATTACGTTTTAAACCGTTAAAGTGTTTTATTTAAACTTTACTGTAGATACATCTTTAAGCAGTTGTCATTCTGTTTATATATAGCTGAATTGTAACGAGTTTACTAAAGATAAGTCCGAAAGAGTCTGGGTTTAAATTCCTGAGTTTTCCACGAAGCTATTCCAGTAACCCACTTGTCTATTGATAAAATTACTCAGTAGCAGACACAGAAATATGTCTACCGAAACGTATTTCGCATATTTACTTAAAACATTAAACAGTAATAAAAATGTTGATTGTGCCTTTCCCTATAATTTAAAATGAAATTGCCGACAAGCTTTTCCAATTTCCACTGCGGTATAAAGTGAAAACATTTACTTATAAATGGTTATAGTAAACAATGGGTTATAATAAGCTCGTAACAGTATACCACAATCGCTTTTATTCGGCACACGGCTTATTATTCAGGACAATATTTCGATTCAATTTAACTGTCATTCGATACTATAACGGAACTAAATCGCTGTTCTAAATCCATTCGATGTAGTGGTTACTTTGTTAGCGTCACTATGCCAAAAATATGTTTACTTACCATTGAAATAGGCATGGGAATGACCTCCTAGTGTATTTGTAATGAATAAAAAACTTGTAATTACGCCTTTTTTACTAGTAACGGTAATATATAATTTTACAATAACAATTGCTATACAAAAACTACAAATATCATTATTGGTTTATTGAATGAATTGGATTCAGAAACTCAATAACGTATTATATGTAAATTTGTGTAACTTTTGCATTGCATAAATTCGTTACAAAAAAGTTTTATTTAAACATAAATAAATAATTATTACAGTCTGTGACCATACTCTAAAAACAATTTTTTATCCAAATTTCCAGATGACGTCCAATATGTTTAAAAATATATAAATTGATTAGAACCGTGTTAAACGCATTGGGGATCGAATTATCGATTACACCAACAAGCCTGTCAATGTATGTGACAAATATTAATAAAATGTTATAAGGCTTCTTGACATTTGATTACAACGCTTCGAAGTACTGACTACTGTTCTGTGAAACTTGAAGCCAAGTAAAGTCTCACAATCGTAAACTGTGTAGTAACTGTTGTTATCGCATCTGCCAGGTGCTAATTTAAAGCGTGAGAGTGAACCAGCGTTTCGACATTCCATATTCTTTTCGGTTGTCGAATCGTAAGTTGGCCAGTTTTAAGCAATTTTCCCATCATCACAATGGTCAATTATAATTACCTCCTCTTTGCTCCAGTTTCGCATTATAACGGTTGTATTCGGAAGTAGTTGTAAGTAGCTATCGTTTTTAAAAATGACAGTCTGTCAGAAAATCCACTTTTAGCCGTTGACTCATCGTAGTAAGTGGTTATTTATCAAGTTAACTAGCTGAGAGTATATAAAATTGAAAAATGATACTACTAAGACCAAGAACTTAAATTAAGCAATTATTGATAATGAAAAACTATGAATAAGTGCATCATTGTAACGAGTAAATCTTTGGTCATTTTTAATAAGGAACTACGTAATTTCTATATAGTAAAAATATAGCGTCTTCTATATACATGTAATAGAAGACTTTTTGTGCAAACAGACACAAATCTATATCTGTTTGACTGATTGATTATATTTCCAGACCAATAATTACTCCGACATTTGTGGCCTGCCCAAATTGGCTTTACATACTTTAATACAAATTCTGAAGAAATAATTTGTTTCTCCAGAATTGGTACACAAGACCCCACTCTTAACGCAATGCGTTTTTGTAAAAATACTATCATATTATCTAAAAAACTTTCTAAAGATGGAAAAATATTGTTTAAACGTGACTGAGTTAATATAATCTCCATGTAGCGTTTGACATAGTTCAACTATTTAGACCTACATCATTATCTATGAAAAACAACGCTGACCCGCATCAGTAGAATATCGGAAAATTATCGCTTCGGCCATTACATTCCCTGAAACAAAAGAGGTGTCATCCGATATCAGTTGATCTACCAAATTGTCCAGCTGTCACCGAAACGTTGAGAATTGGATTAATTTGTAACCCCTGTATTCCATCCCACGCTCCGTTCCTAGAGACCCTATTTTCTATTCCTGAAGGAATCTGTGAAGAATTACCCATTTTTACCTTGCACCTGGGATAATATTTATTATTTCTACTAACAAATAAGCTACTTAACGCTGTGAAATTTATATATACCTTAAAAAACCACAAATACTTTCGGTCGGGCAAAGCATAGAAGCTAAGGGACATAAATTTATCTGCCCTGTACTCCGTATAGAAAAATGGGATTTTAAACATTCGCACTATTCCATTAATTTGAATCTACTTGATTTACATGTTTACTACAAATATGCCATTCATTTCTCTTGCATGAGGAAAACTGACATAACTATTTCATATTATATACATACCTAGATATATCACATATGGTACACACTTGACCACTTTATTGACCGGATAAATGGTGGTGTAATTTCCCGCCTCAATTCTTACAAGATACTCTTAATGTTTCCTCTATTATACAACTTGGTATTTGTCAACAAAGACTATTTTGCAACGGAATAAAAATAATTTAAGCTAACCTTGGAGATCGTGATCTTGTATCTTACTTTATTAGCTTATAAACTTTTCTAATAAAATTTTACCATATTTTATTATTAAACATTTGTTTATGCAACACAACATATAGAAAATCGTTGTTCCGATCTCTGTTGTACATATTTAATAGTAAAAATTACTCCAGGTGAAAATTTATCTGGTATTTACGTAACTAAGCCTTTATGCCTTTTACCCAGATAAGGTCTTCTTGCGACTCAAAAATGTCTTTCTAAATATTTTTCACTCTTTCTATAAAAGTCACAGTCATATATGTATATTGTGTGAGGGAATATAAATATACGGACAAACGATTTCCATTGTACTGTAGTATAATATTAAGAACGATTCGAATAGATATTTAATAATTCAGACAACTTCTATATTTCATAAAAAGCGCCCCAAACACGAATCTAAAGTCTTTGAACAAACGTAATAAAGGAAAGTTCTTTCTTGGAAGGTTGCGTAACTTATTCAATAACAGAACATTTTGTACCAATGAACTTTACAGCGTATTGTCACGATAGAGCCAGCGCAATATTTCATTTGCCTCCGTCCCAATTTGAGCAACCCACTAAATGAATTCACCGTCTCTAAACGTCCATTATGGCCGTACGTGACTGCGAAACAAAATTATTCCCGTCTAAAACGAAAACACTCCAGCGATACCAAGGTACCGATTAATTGTCTGCTACAGAGATTAAATGGATTAATTCCTCTTGTTACCTTGTCTCAAACGAGAAACCACTCGGGTATTGTTCGAAGGTTTTATTAAATCGCACATTCCTAGAGCCCGATATCATCTGTGAAATTTATCATCTGTGGTATAAAAGAGTTGTCAGTGTCGCCACTTTCCATTTCGATTAAGGAATTTATGAGTAATTTATAATCACAATGAATACCCGAATAATAGATTATGTTGATATGAACAGTGCACATTTCGTATTATGACAACAAAGTTAATTAACAATCAGCGACCGTCAATCAATGCGAACCGAAGTGCAGTGTGCTCTGGTCATAAACAATCATGCCGAAATCAAAACGAATGTGTTCAAATATTAATTACAATGATGCAACATAAACAGACTCAAAAGCTTATTTAAGTGATGAATTTTCAGAGTAGTGTTTGCCTTTAAAACGTAAACTGTAGGTCTGATGTCAACGTTAAAAGTAAACAAATAATCCTATTTTAATAAAAACAAGACTATAGAAAACAAAAGAACTACAATACAAAGACATACATATGACCCACAGCGTACATAGTCCATAAGCTAAACTTTAAGAACATTAACAATAATTCAATTGTTAATACTTTTTCCTGATTGATTTTTATATATATTTCGCTTCAATTTATAACGAAAACCATAATCTCTATTATGAAGTGTCTATATACTCACGTTGTATTTAATTACACATCTACCTTTTGTGTCTCGCTAAGCGCACTCAAACTCTCAAGCAACTTTCTCCGACCATAATTTCACTTAAGCTATGGTTTTTAAGTACCCAATTACTTTTATTACTTGCCATACGAAAAACCCACTGTAAAATCTGACAAAGTAACGCCCTCAATATAATATGAGCATTCATCTAAAAACGCGATGAATTTCTCACGACTTATGGTAACAGTAGCGGACCCATAAAGCTACCCTGCGGGGAGATTTTATTATGGCAATGAATTGTACGTGTCGAAAAATACCATGATGATGTTTTTCATTGGTCCTAATGTTTGTAATTACACAATTTTCGGTCTCTCGTCTGTCAACGTAAACATATCTTAATTTAACATATTATAATATCTACCCCTTGTGAAGCTCAGGTGTAAAACACGACCGTACAAATTGAATTAAACACAGTTTCACTCAGGCAAAGCACAGAATTCTAATCACATTCGTACTTATAGAGGATACAAATTTGTCTTAATTCCTACGTTACTTATAAGCAACGAACATTCACTTTAAAATAATGTGTACTATACTTTTAAAAGGCGGTCTTATAAAGTACTAAGTACACATTAGTATGTTTTTTTTAAACACGGCATATCAAGTTTATGTTATTAATTATATGTATATTTATTACTACTTTGTTTTTTTATAATATGTCATATTGCCATTATATATCAACTAACGTTATCTTTCTCATCTTTCCAGGTTTACAATGTTGATAAGGTGTCGGACGGCACTGGGTGCCGTCGCGATCCTGCTGCTTGCTGCTACATATTCAAATGCAGAGGTAAGACCATTTTATGCCTCTATAATATCATTTAGTTTATACCAAGTATTGTCCGTACCAGACAAACGCCATTGAACTTTTTTGTCTATAAAATTATCATTGTAAAGTACTAACGTCAGTATACTTAGTAATGTGAAGAATATATAATAGAACATTGTTTGTGAAATAAAATTACCAAAGAAGCGTATTAGATTATTAATTAAAACAAAGATGGCTAAAAAAGTCAACATCAGAATTCATCGTGAAATATACTGTCCGAATTCGTTACAATTATAACAGAAGTAGAATTACAAATTAAAAATGTAAAACGTATAATGTAATGCAAACCCTCGCCTTATAGAATAACTTTGGAAGTTTTTATGCGTTTCCTTAATACAAAAGCTCGAGATAAAACAATAGAGTGAAATATAAAAATCAGCCAAGTGTGAATCTTTGATATTGTTTCTTATTCCTGAACTACTTTGTTCAGGATTGTTTGACAACGGCCTTTGTTTACAAACAATGGTGTAAACGTGTTATTTACAAATGTGTTGGCACATGACCCAAAATAAAAACAATATAAAATCTTATAGGTTCCGATTTTGAAGGTTAGCAGCACAATAGCTTAAAAAAAATATTTGTTTTTATAAACCCATTGTGCCGTAAGTGTGTTAGTTTAATAGCAACCTCATTTTAATTAATCTTACCTTTTGGATATACATATATTTTGTAAAGTAATTTGCACTGGGGCATAAAAAGTTAAGTCCTATTTCAAGAAAATGGGATCGACTTTAAAAGGACATAGTTGATCTGACTTTAGTGCCTCACTGAAACTATTTTACGTCTCGAGATTCGACCTCCTCGTACTCATAATCAACAGATGACTTAACTAGTATTATTTTAAATCTAAAATTTGCCTTGTAAATTTTAAAAAATAATGTATCCTCCGTAGATGGAATAGAATTTCTAACGCCTAATAAAATATTTAGCATTCACTTAGTACTGTCGTCATTACAACTTAGTCTAACTTTGAATTAAGCTAAGCTTCTTAGCATCTTAACGTTCAGTCTGGACTGCTGAATTTATAATGTATTCTCAAAAACTTGGCTTTTGCTATTGATGGATTATGAATATATAATGGTGGTTAGTTTGACTATACTGTGGTTGCGGCTTACCTTATAACCATTTATTTGATTTGGTAAAAGCAGTGACGAGAGTAATGTTTGCATACGCAAAATACAAACATTCAAAATTGCTTACTTGATTAAGTTAGAATTGCGGAGCGAAAATAAATATTTTTACAAATTGCTTTCCCTTGGAGTTTTGTGCTAACAATTCATAGCACGGTCAGATTTTGGTATACATGCTTGATACTTTCAAAAATATTTCTACAATACCCAGTTTATCATGTTTACAACATGTATTTAAAATAACATTTTGATGTTTTTATGCACTTTATGTTTAAAATAAGTAGCATTTATCAATATTAAATTTTGAATTGATAATTATTTATTATTAATTATATTGAATTAAATACACACTACAAAATATTGTAGATTATATAAGATACGAATATATTGCGTCTTTACAACCTTTTGTTATAACTATTGCAATGCAATAAACTATTGCAACCAACAAAGCTGGAAACAAACTAAAGATCTTTACGACCTCGTCTATCTTCTATAGCTAAATTTCTCAAACTATCTTCTACATATCTTCTAACTGTTTCGACGAAATATTTTAAACTCTGCGAGCGTATTTCGAGTTGTAGTGTCCTCGATTCCACTTTCGCTTGCTTAGCAAACCGTTTCCATCTTCACCAATTGTCGAATGGAAAACTGTAAAAGGGACTTCTGGATAGATTTATTGCTTTGTTACGGATCCGAACGACCCGCAACGATCGTATCATCAACGTATTTATCATTGTAAATGTGTCAACGTTACCCCGTTCGCAGATATCTCCCCCGAAACCGAAGTATATTTTCGATACAGCATATACTTGGCTATTATTTACGACTTTTATGCGCTATCTCGGGCGTTACGTGGAGTTTTATTTCAAATGACGGTAATAATCGTTTCGTTTCTGTTTCAGGGCAACCTCTTCACTTGTCCTAATGGTAAGTTTTTTATTCTATTATTTAAAAGTAACTTGATTGAACTGTGTATTGAATACACCAAAGAGCTTTACGCTTAAGCGTAAACACAACTACACGACATATGAGGCCGCTGGAGAAAGAATAGCCTAACTGCAAATTTATGACTTATATTTATATTTTTATAGTCTAAAAATGAGCACAGTGATCAAAAATTGTTAACATGATTTTTACATAAATAATAGTACAAAATCATTTTTGCCTAGATTAATTGCGCATTTTTTATTTTCCCCATTATTGCAATGGAATTCATGTTTTTTTATTATTAGGCCACTCTGCCGATTTCTTTTTTTCTTTTAGACTTTTGCTGTTTTCGAATAGATCTTCTAATTTTAAACACCAGTAAGATAGTAATATTTAAAACTTACACTAACACTTACTTACTTAAAAATCTTCAGTTAAAAATCTTACAACGATATTACATATCATGTATTAGTAAGTGGTTCCAATTTATCGAAATTAAATTTACAAAAATTGCATCGTTACCTAGTTAAATTACTGTATGTTCGCTATACATTAGTCTCCGAACAAGTGGAAGTGGGGAACGAAAACAATTTAGTGCTTAATTACAAACGTGTGTTTACTTAAACAAACTATTACTTAGGTGAAATATTTGGCGAGCTTTGTACTTCAAGTTGACAATGCGAGATGAGAGTGGCTCATTCTCAGCTTAACACAGCTTATTAATGTGCTTAATAAATTAATTACTCTAACGTCCCGACGTACTAAAAGCCTTCAGTGAAACAGACGTGGGATTATAAATAAATTTTGTGAAACCCGGGCGAGGCCTTTATTTTATTTGAATAAGGTTTTTGTCAGTGTAATAAAATTTTAGTTACAAAAACTTGTGATGAATTTGAGTTTTTATCAAGGTATGTTGATAACATTAGACTTCAAAGAACACAACCCGGCTTTTATATTCTTTGTTTTATGCAACGCTGCGCGAAAACTTTGCATAGTAGCATGTTAATACATCCTATGTCTTTTTTATTCCACAATTAGCAATTATTGTCTGATTAAAACAAAAGCGGTTTAAACCGCTATATATTAGGTATTTTTGTGTTCAAAATGTGACCTATTGTTTTGTATTTTAAACCGTAATTACGTGATCTGTCCCAATTTGTACTAAATTTTCTAATATAATTAAACAAAGAATCGGATCAAGATCAGTACAATATCGAGTTTTAATATACTTATCAAATCTTACAAGTCTTGCAAGGAAATGTAGTACGTTCAGAAAGATCAGATTTGCTTTTAGGAAATAGCTGCTTTACGAAGCTCAATCCTTCTGTAAACTCACTGATCAGCAATTAATAAGGATTTACCGTAGTTCCTAGATTCGTGGGGATATAGATAATTCACTGCTAATTAGTATAACTCTGAAGTCCAAATTGACAGCCAATGAGTAAGCAAATCAAACGGTTCGCCGGTCTAGGTAATCTTCATTAGCCGCATAATTAATGCAAGGAAATTGCCTCCAGCACACGGTACGCTGCTCCAAGCCACCTTGCTAGATTGCTCTCGCTTGTATGCTTTCAATATCCTATAGATAAAACGCTGAGCGTTATAGAGGGCTAGCATATTATAACAGAGGACACCTTATATATAAGCTAGAGACATGTTTAAGAAGCAAATACACACGGAAATTCCATGGGAAAGGCGGAACAGCTTGGTTCTGAGTCAAGTGTGTCTTCTCTGTCATCAAAAAGCACGACTAATTACGTCCATATACAACGTGCGTTACGGCCAATTTGTATATCTGTAATTTACTTATTAAACAAAAATACCCTCATTTACTCATGTTACATTTTTTGAATAGAACAACTTTTGAAAACTTTAATATTTTTCACACGTTATTGCACATAATGTAAATCAAGAATCGATTATAAATTTAAAAAAAAATACAACTCGGGCGGGACTTGAACCGGTATCCACAGCATTTTGAGCGGTTACGCTAACCAATAGAGCTACTGAGTCCAACACGTCATCGTCGATTTTTTTCAACCCATTGATACATGCACCTCTCGCGCAATGTAATTTCTACCTTACTCTTAATAACCAAGTGTAGTTTATATAGAAGAACATTGTTTCGTTTGTCTGTATACCTAGTAACACATAATTCATTCAAAAAATGAAACTTAAGATTTGAGTCTTGAAATCTGAAGAACACCGAGCACGTATTTCGAAGTTGACCTACCTTGATGTAAAACCACGAGAACGAAACTCCAGGTGCGGAGGCAGCAGACAAATTGCATCATTCCCGTTCAGAATTAACAGGAGGTTTGCGAGGTCGCTCGCCCAAGTGCTAACGAACGAAGTAATCCATGCCAATGCATCCTGCCAACTCACTTGAATACATCAATATTTAATACTAAATTACCAGCGTTTCCATATTCCGGAATTTCTCGATTTCATCACTTCCAATATTTTTCACCGTGAGATTCTAATCTAACAATTAGAAACCGAGTTTGTGTCGTTCTTAATTATTATGAAAAGGACTGCTTACAATTTAACGCATTATTTTCAGTAGATTACACACATCACATAGTATTGTAATTAAGCTTAAGCTTTGTTTTTATGTTCGAACGGTCTAATCTCAGGAACTACTGGTTAAAGTTGAAAAAACTTTTTGTGTTGGTTAGGACATTTATTGAGGAAGACTATAGGCTATAAAGCATCGCTGTGACAAATAGAAGCAAAGAAACAGCGAAAAATAAAAAAAAAATAGGAAAATTATTCTATCCTTGTGGATTTTTCACCGTTTACACCGCGAAAACGATTCAAGATAACCCAAAAGTATGTATGAAAGGATATTTTTTTTTAAAGGTCTAAAAAATTCCATTACTCTATATGTCTTAGATAGACATATACAGTAATGGATTTAAGTTAGATAAACTTGCAAGAACGACAGGACGCTACCGACGTCGTGGGTAATTAAATTTATAAAGATGGATAGAAAGTTTTCAAAAACAAATTTCGTTGCTAGAAATTACTGTTCTACGCGGACGAAGGTGCTGACACAGCTAGTTGTTATATAGAACAGTACAACAACATACAAATTTGGTTCCAATGACTTTTAAATTATAAATTACGTTTAAAAATACTCTGATAAAATTTGGCTTATTCCTTCCTAAAATTAAACATTATCTGTGATATCGACAATCATATTATAGGTACTCTTAGTAAATACGGTTTCATAGAGGAATGTCGAATTTTTATTCTAAGACATGCTCTTTTTCCACATGATGTTTTTCGTGTCACGATTTTCATGGTAACAAGATATTTTGGGAGTTCCGAGATCCCCAAGGATCCATGAAGATACGAGATCGTGATAAGAAAATATTACTTACTAACGAAAATATGTATTTGTATAGACAGACATAGCTTTATTAAAGGTATTCAGGCATATTATTAATTAAATAAATTGTCTCAATTGTACGTCAAATGAAGAAAAATTTCGTATTCAAATACTGCCTGTAGTTTAACGGTTTAAAACGCGATACATATTAGTTGAAGTTATTCCAAAACTATTTTAACTACGGCCCGAAGTTGTCTCCCCGTGATCCGAAAAGTCGGGCCATATTTAAAAAAAAATCAAATAACTTTGAACCGATAAAGTGTTTTATTTAAATATCGTATTCAAAAAATATCTCTTTACTTTCAAATATTGTCTTTTGTTTTTAACTGTTTTAAAGATCATAAGTCAATCAATGTTTTTTTTTTAATTATACTGCTATTTTTTTATATTTCTACCTTTTATGCTAGATATAATTGCCTAATCGAAAAAATTAACGATATAATCCACGAAGACCTTGACCCCAATTTTCCCAATTACGTATTCAAAATAACCTAAAAAAAGTAATATGCTTTGAGGTCAATTACCGTTCAGCGATTAATTAAAACCTGACCTTTAGATCTTTTCGTTTTTCTTTGAAGTTTATACTTAAACATAAACTCAAGTATTTTCATTTATATATCCAAGATTATTACAAGTTACGATATACTGTCTGTAGTTTAGCGAGTACGCCTTTAAACAAAACACTTTAACGGTTTAAAACGCGATAGGTATACATTATATGTTGCATTTTTATTGTATATTGCAGCAGCCGAAACGTCGGGCCGTAATTTTCAAAGTGTAACTAATATGTATCGCATTTTAAACCGTTAAAGTGTTTTATTTAAGTTAGGACATTTACATATAGTTCCGCCACAGTCACCTAAACTATGACTCATAATAAATGCCTGATATCCGCAAAATGTAAAAACATAACTCAATTGGTCATAAGTTTGAATCCCAAGCATTATATTTTTTAATTCAAAAACATTTTAAATTATATAACCTTACCCGTGAATTTGCCATGTCATAGTCATAGTTACAGCTTAATTTAAAAACAACAATTTTTTGTCACGTCTTTCTCTTCACTAACCGCATGAGTAACATGTACCAATCCGTAACTGTCAAATGTTGTTTCAATTCTAAACGATAGCTCAACATTACACGTGTTACGTGCGCATTAGTAAGCCTGGAGCTAAACAACCATAATTTCCAGTATCTGGAACAGTTCCATCAAAAGCCATTTTCGATTCGTATTCATGTGTGAAATCGTTTGTTTACCTCTATCGCCTCCAGTCATACAGTCAACAGAGTATTACTAATATTAATGATTACTATTCAATTAAATACAAAAACTCTAATATTATTTTTTTTAATTTTATAGATACTAGAAATATCTTAATACCGTTAGGTAATTTAGCGTGAATGTTAAACTGCCCTTTATAAAGAGAAAAAGCTATGCTGTCACAGGCAGACCTAAACTTTAAAATGCTTTGTGAACGTATTAAAATACTGTACGTAGACTGGCTAAAGTTGTACATTAAAACTTTCTCCTCACAAGACATTGGTTTACCAACAAATACGTTATTTTTTAGAAAGCATACTAAAAAAAACGATCCCTGATATTTTAAACTTAGAATAAAATAATGAATCACATTAATCATAATAATTTCGAATTTGGAATCTTTCATCTTATATTTTATATATTCTAAATTTGAATATTTGAATCAAATAAAGAACAAGAACAAGTAACAATTACTGTTCCATGGTTTCCATGGCAATAAAAGTAAACGAGTATGAGTTACTAAAGCGACCACCATAACCGCAGCGAGAATGAGTCAAGATAGCTGGCACGCATATAATATTCGGAGCATCACGATCTGGGTCAGTTACTTAGTAAAACGACATACTCGGTTACGGTGCAAGGTTACATTGGCACTACATTTAACAATTATCTATCTAGTCTCTGGTTCAATCGAGGCCTTTTACCATTCAAACGTCTAGACGAGAGAATTACATGCAATTGTGCATATTATAAGCATGCAATTTACAGACATCGTGTTTTATATTTTGTACTAGCTGTGACAGCGACTTCGCACGTGTAAAATAGGTATTTTGGGTATCAGAATTTGATTTTTCAAACCTCCTTATCTTAATCAATTATAGATGTTACTTACGATGTCGGTCGCGCCCCGTCGTTGTTGCAAGTTAATCTTAAAATATAGACCATATGTTATCGTGAACATTATTTCAACTTATTTATAAAGGAATCATTCGCATATTTATGCCTTAAGCCTTCCTCGCGAAACGGTCTAATCAATACAGTAATTTTTCGAGAAGAATAATTCGAACTAGTAGTTCCTGAGATTAGCGCGTTCAATCAAAGAAACAAAATTCTTCTGCTTTATAATATTAGTATAGATTTGTTTCGAATGATATGTTCTGTATAGCTCTCATTCATCAAGACATTAAAATAACAGAGAACATCACTGCTTGCTGTCTGTATGATGCCTGTTGGTAGCATGTTTTACTTGTAAAACACTGTACACGTACGAATATGAAAGAAAATTTAGTTAAAGTGGTGGAGTAATATAATACCCTTCATTTTTATACCCTGAGTACATCTTTATATTCTGCAGCGCAGAATTCGCTTGAAGTGTTTATATGCTCTAGAGCTAAGGGAATACAATAGAACACAACCCAAGATTTATCCCAAACACAATTTTAGCCACACGCGTTTAATTACTATCTAAATGCAATTAAAATACTCAATTACCAATGTAGTTTTAAACTAAAAATACCTATTAACTAACCGCGTGCCCATCATATAACTAATTGCTGATATTCAAATAGATTCCTATCAATATAAATACGAAGTCATTAACTATATTTGTTATTGCATTAACTAATTTTCGTAAATTTTTTGTAATATAATAAAAAGATAGTTTAGGCATAAATACAGTTTTATTAACTTTAGGGATTTAGGGATGCTTAAATAAAACACTTTTAACGGTTTTGTACGCAAAATATACTAGTGATAGTTAACTTATTTACAATTTATTTTATCTTCGGGCTGATAAACAAATTATACGTATTTCGAGTTTTAAGGTATAAAAATGTTTTATTTAAATGTGTACTGTCATAAACTACAGGCAACACTTTCAAAGGTGTTTTAATGGGCTTATAGTAAGCTATAAATTATTTATGTCTCGAATTACAGAGTTATACTATATTCAAATTATTAGCTTGAAATAAAGCTGTATAAGTATAACTAAATAAAAACATATGATATTTTTCGATTTTTAAGGTCCAGTTATAATTTAAGTTTTTTTTCGAAGAACATAAATATCTTTATTTATTTTTTTGTTATGTCTTAAATAAAAGCAACTTAAACGTTCTAATATAAGCACGAAGTGACAACAAACTTTAGCCTTGATAACTTGTAATAGTGAAAGGGCTTCGTTAACATTATTCAATTTTTATAAGAGGGTGTTAAGTACTAGGATTTGAAACAAATGTATATCTCGCGCGTTCTTTAGTTATTAATTCGGTTTTAGTCTGCAGATTTCAGATATCCAAACCCAAAATAAGTTGATAGCGTATCCTGTTGAGCTGCTATATGGCAGGTTTATCTATCATAAAAAAATTATAGTGGAATACTGGCTTGCAAAAAACATAAACCGTTGTCATGGCAACCAGATTTAAGAATGTCGTAATACATATGGTATCCTGAGTCTATATGTAGATTTTAGACTTAGCCATTATGTGTGGATGGTATAAAACAATACACTGACAGTATTGACGTCTCGGCGAGCCTGTAAAGCAACAGTACGGACGGAGCTAACTCAATCTCTATACACTTAGGACTCGACTCTTGCACTCAAAGGAAATGCGGCTAGTCTCATACCGTGTCGATGACGCTTGAAACCGAATCTGCGATACATAATATTGACTGGCTTCTTCACCCATGACCAACATGGGAATGGATTACTTGGGCAATGTCAAATTAATAGATTAATGCCAGTAATACTTTAATTAAAGTAATGTCTAAGTTAACTCGATCTAAAATGTAAGTACATGAGTCCTTTTCATATAAAGGAAATTTTCAAAATGCACACTTTCAAATGAAAAAAACGCAATTATAAAAAACTTCCAACACCAAATGTTTACAACATAAATCTATTTATCGAAAAATACTCTTATATTTCAATAATAGAAGGTCATTTCTTATTTTATATTCGTATAGTTCGTTTGTGTATTCTACTATACTTACATTTAAATTTAATACAACAAAAATTCGTTCTTTCAATGACAAGATATAATTATTTATAACAAATCGGTTGTCATATTATTTTAAGACCGAATTTTTTTATTATGGTGCATACCATTTTGATTGCAAAGCAGTAAGCGGGAAATTATTTGACAGCTTACCCCGCCGCGTATTGAACTAATCACTCTACATTAGCCATACTATAATACACATCTTACAATTAGAGGCAGACTGAACTTAATTGGGCATTACATCGGAGGAACAATAAACGCTCAGGTGCGTTTTATACGACCAAAGTATCAAGTCTAAATCAAAGTATAAGTCGCAAAGTACTTCCGTGGCGGCGATAAAAAACGAATAACGACAAATAGAGCGTGTGAGTTCGCCAATGAATGCGAAGACGTCGATGGATTCACGCTCCAGTGCAGCGCGCAACACGATGCAATGTTTGACCTACTTCTATTATGCACCACATAATGCAACTGCTAAATATAAACGAATAATTCGACGTCCTTAATTCATAAATAAAAACCCTACCGTTTATCAAATCTATTTATAATAAAAACAATTGATGACATGGCGTGGACTTGAACCAGGATCCCATGACTTGAGTAGAGCTCAAGAGAGTTCAAGCCCTCCAATATCAATGAGTTAAAACCTAAACGGATGTTTAATTTCGAATTTCGAATGCTTTTCTTCCACTAATGTAAATGATTTAATTAAACTATTTAGTTCTTAAAAAACTAGACCAAATTATAAATTATGTTTGAGTTCTTTGGTAAAGAAATGTATAACTATTTTCACATCTAGGTCATTTTAATCATACGCATCTGTAGCAGACTATTTTTAATAGCTATAAAAGCTTATATATAATATAAGCTTATATAATAATCGTTCAATTATAATATTATATAACCTATCACAACATACTTGTTTATTAATTATAAATAACTGCACCGATTTTGGTGTAATTTACGAAACCGATGCGTATTGGCAAATATCCAAAACATTGGTTAGTATGGAACATTACGGTTCATTTTAGTTATTTACATACATTTCACAGGCTGTAGTGAAAAATAAAGTAAAAAAAAGTTTCCACATATTATATTCTGTAGCCAAATAAATGAAGCAAGCTTGTAAAATATGCCCAAGGCGTAGAAGATGTAGGCTGATTGTACCTATTTTCACTTCAAGTGAGTTTCGAGCCCTCAGAGAAAGTATTTAAAAGTATTTACCTACGACACGTAATTTTCTAAGCTAACATGTAAAGCACATACCGCGTAAACATTTCCTTTCACCGAATGCTCATTTAAAATTACAAAAGTACATCTCGCTGTACTAATGTTTTATGCAAATGTTCAGGCTATAGAGAAATTTCTAATTGTACCTGCAATAAATATTCATCGGGAACCTTCGTGCGCTAGATCATAACATTCTTAATAATAATTAGTTATAATACTTAAGCAAACCTTTTAATTACAGGATGGGAGTTAAAGGGCCTTCATTGTTACAAATTTTTCAATATCAGACATTCCTGGGAGAAGGCAGCGGAGCTATGTCGGAGGTGAGTAAAAATTTACTCATTATTCTGTAAGGCTGTTAGACTGCTTTGATTACCCTCATATGTTTTTTAATATAGAAGACAGAGATGGCATCGGATTTACTTGATGGTAGGTGATATACCGCAGCCTATAGCATCTAAAAAAGATGCGCTGTCGGCTTATTTTGAATGCGATTAAGCTTCACGGGTTTTTCATCTGTGGACGGTGGTTGGTGACCCGGATAGAATTTCTATTTTCCTACCACCCATTTAATATCCATAGTTCCAGACGAATTCCAATATGTTTCAGGAAAATTAGAAATATGTTAGACCCAGGGGGGTTTTTAACCCACGACCACTAGCCATACTTTGCTACCAACAAGCCCGTCAAGGTTGAAAAATCGTGATATTTTTTTTCTTTAACTTAAGCAGAACATATTCCAGAACTTCAACATAATAAAATATGTTTTTAACAATTATGTTTTAAATTTTGCAGATATGGGAGCGAGCTCATGGTTATAGATAGTTACACAGAAAACAATGTTACTGCCAGTCTGGTCCCATCTAGTCCTAGCAACAACCACTACTGGCTTGGTCTAGCGACGGTCGACGATCTACGAACGAACACACTAGAATCAGCTGCCGGTGGTTTGGTGTCGCAGTACGCGGGATTCTGGGATTTGAGACAACCTAATCCCAAAGATGGAGAATGTGTAGATGTCCACGTTACTACAGAGAGACAGTCATGGGAATTAACGACATGTGAAACTCTTCTGCCTTTCATGTGTAGAGCGAATGCGTGCCCTGAAGGTAAATTGAAAAAGATTATTAAGTTTGATTAAGTTATGTCTAGCAAAATGAAATAGTAATGTGCTGAACTTAACAAATATTATGCTTTTTTTCCTTTTTTTTATGCAAAAAAAAAAGGTATTTTCAAATTTTATTTCGGGAAAAAAATGTAACTAAAAGAATGACGTTGATAGTAAATAATGTAAATATTGTAAATTAATTTTTTAGGAACATTCCACTGTTCAAATGGAAGGTGTATCAATGCTGCGTTCAAATGTGATAAGCAAGATGATTGTGGAGACGGTTCAGATGAAATGGACTGTTCTTCCGAATGCCACTTTTACATGGCAAGCAGCGGCGATGTCGTAGAAAGTCCAAACTACCCTCACAAGTATCCAGCTTTCAGCGAATGTAAATGGACACTTGAAGGTCCCCAAGGTCAAAATATAGTACTGCAGTTCCAAGATTTTGACACTGAAAAGTCTTTCGATACTGTTCAAATCTTAGTAGGCGGTCGCACCGAAGATAAATCTGTTAACCTAGCAACACTATCAGGAAAACAAGATTTAGCGACAAAACTCTATGTTTCGGCTTCAAACTTCATGATAATCAAATTTAGTTCTGACGGTTCCGTAGAAAGAAAGGGATTCAGGGCCTCGTGGAAAACGGAATCTTCCAACTGTGGTGGAATTTTGAGAGCAACACCTCAAGGGCAAATTTTAACTTCACCTGGCTATCCTAACAGTTATCCCGGTGGGCTAGAATGTATGTATATCATAGAATCACAGCCTGGCAGAATCGTTTCTTTAGAAATCGAAGATTTGGACTTAGAAATGAACAGAGACTACATTGTTATCAAAGACGGTAATTTACCGTCGAGCCCTGTACTTGCTCGTCTGACTGGATCCGGCGAAGATAACGAGAAAGTTGTTATATCGACTACAAATCATTTATACATGTACTTCCGTACAAGTCTCGGCGATTCAAGGAAAGGTTTTAATATGAGGTACTCTCAGGGTTGTAGAGCTACAATTATCGCTGCAAATGGTACCTTTACTTCACCAGCTTACGGGTTGAGTAACTATCCAAACAACCAAGAATGTTTATATAGAATCAAAAACCCTAATGGTGGTCCTCTATCCCTTAAATTTGATGAATTCAACATTCATCCTACTGATGTTGTTCAAGTATTCGATGGCGCAAGTACAAGCGGTTTAAGACTACACTCTGAAAATGGATTTACAGTGAAACCTAGAATAACTCTCACGGCATCAAGCGGTGAAATGTTAATACGTTTTGTATCTGATGCGCTACACAACAATGCTGGCTGGAAGACGACATTTTCTGCCGGTTGGTTAATTTTTACATAGTTGAAAACATTTTGTGTAGGAAAACATTAAATAAATAAAAATCTTTCAGATTGTCCATCATTGAAGTCTGGTATTGGAGCATTAGCGTCAAACAGGGATACAGCTTTTGGCACCACTATAACATTCTCTTGTCCTATCGGTCAAGAATTTGCAACAGGAAAGTCACGCATAACAACTCAATGCCTAGCTGGGGGCAATTGGTCCACTACTTACATACCGAGTTGTCAAGGTAAAATTTTGTTTTCAAAATAACCCTTTCGTTGTATTTTCTGCATAGAATCATTATATATAATATTTTGCGTTTTTTTGCAGAGGTATACTGTGGTCCAGTACCTCAGATTGATAATGGATTCTCTATTGGATCAACAAATGTAACTTATCGAGGTGTAGCTACATACCAATGTTATGCTGGTTTTGCCTTCCCAACTGGGCAACCTATTGAAAGAATTTCATGTCTGTCGGATGGTCGGTGGGAACGTACACCCACATGTTTAGGTAAATACACAATTTACTAATTGAGTAGTCTTATTAAATCTATTTTTTTTTGTTCCCTTTAAAGAACATATGATATATAATAATATTACGTTTTTTTTCAGCTTCTCAATGTTCCGTTCTACCTGACGTACCACATGCAAATGTTACGATATTAAATGGCGGCGGTCGAAGTTACGGTACAATTGTACGCTATGAGTGCGAACCCGGCTATGTCAGATCTGGTCAGCCAGTTCTGTTGTGCATGAGTAACGGGACATGGTCTGGAGATGTCCCAACATGTTCAAAGGCCTTGTGCCCAAAATTCCCAGAAATTGCAAACGGTTTCGTAGTTGATCAAAGCCGAATTTACATGTTTGGAGATGAAGCCCGTGTACAATGTTTCAAAGGTACTTTCAAATATCCATGATACTTAAAATTTGTTTTTTTTTTTAATTATTGATGTTTTACTGACTCAGGTTAAACTTACAGTGTACTTTATGTGATTTCAGGCTATAAGCTCAATGGACCAAGTATATTAAGATGTGGAGCCAATCAAGAATTCAATGCTGCACCAACTTGTGAAGATATTAATGAATGTTTAAGTAGTCAGTGCGATTCGGCTTCCACAGAATGTAAAAATACTCAAGGAGGATTTTTCTGCCCGTGTAAAGCGGGTTTCTCACCAAGCTTAGACTGTAGGCCGGTCGGTGATCTTGGTTTGATAAATGGTGCTATTCCTGATGAGTCAATCACAACCTCTACACCTGAAGAAGGATATTACAAAGGGGTAAATTTTTTCTCTTTACATATTTTTACATCATTTTTTTATGATAGAAGAAGGCAGAAAATAATATTCACTTGATGGAAATGTAAATACCCCATCTTACATAAAAAGATGACCTATTCTGGCCCTAAATTTTATGAAACAACTACAATAAGTAAAATCTTTACAGATGATACGCCTAAATAATGGAGGTGGTTGGTGTGGTAACAACCTTGAAGCTGGCGCTAATTGGGTTCTGATAGATCTGCGAGCACCAACTATCGTCAGAGGATTCCGTACTATGAGCGTTATGAGGGCCGATGCTAATATCGCATTCACTTCTGCTATAAGAATACAATACAGCAATAATTTAACAGACGTCTTTAAAGATTATACTAACCCAGATGGTACGGCTGTCGAATTCAGAATTCTAGAACCCACCTTGTCCGTTTTGAACTTGCCGATGCCAATTGAAGCACAATATGTCAAATTCAAGATCCAAGATTATGTTGGAGCGCCTTGTCTTAAATTGGAAATTATGGGCTGCGCTAGACTTGATTGTCTTGACATTAATGAATGTAATGATAATAATGGTGGCTGTGACCAAAAATGTGTAAACACGTAAGTTAAAATTATCGGTGTCCTACTAACTAATACTACTTTTTTTTAATCAAACATTTGTCTGTACGTAATTAAAACAGACTGTATTTTTATCATTAAAACAGATATTGAGCTACTTATTTTATTTAAAAGTATTATTTGATCGCAATATAATTCGAAGTTATTTTTGCAACTATTTATTTGGTGACTTTATCTATTTTATTTTTCAGGCCTGGTAACTTCTCCTGTGCCTGTAACATCGGATATGAATTATACTCCTCAAACGGAACAGCTGGGTTCTCGATAGAAAAATCTGAAACTGGTGAAAGAGACGGGGACACTTACCAAAGAAACAAATCTTGTGTTCCTGTCATGTGTCCGCCTTTAGCACCACCTGAAAATGGATTATTATTATCTACCAAGAGTTCATATCACTTCGGTGACATAGTGGAATTCCAATGTGACTTTGGATATGTAATGTCTGGTTTTTCATCACTTCTTTGTACTTCAAGTGGTAATTGGAATGGTACTGCACCAGAGTGTCAATGTAAGTTTTTTAAAAATGTATGCCGATGGTTGCCCATTGAAAATCATTTATTTTTAATAATGTACTTACTAATTAAAATATTCTTCTTTCAGACGCTCGTTGTGTTACTCTATCAGGAGACAAAAACGATGGACTGGAAGTGATAAGGAACGACCCTGAAAGTGTTTTAGTACCATACAGAGACAACGTAACAATAACGTGTACTTCACCTGGCAGGCAATTGAGAAATACAATAACTTCATCGTTCAGGCAATGTGTTTACGATCCTAAACCGGTAAATATTTTTTATTCATATTATAATATTCATTCATAAATTCAATTTCATTAAGTCTTAAAATTACCATTGAATTTTTCTAGGGACTTCCAGACTACTGGTTATCTGGAGCTCAACCTCAATGTCCTCGAAAAGACTGTGGTGTACCCATGCCTACACCTGGCGCTGAGTACGGACAGTACTTAGACACAAGATACCAAAGTTCATTCTTCTTTGGATGCCAAAACACCTTTAAATTAGCGGGACAAACAAATAAACATGACAATGTCGTGAGATGTCAAGCTAATGGTATCTGGGACTTTGGAGATTTAAGATGTGAAGGACCTGTCTGTGAGGATCCTGGTAGACCAGCAGATGGATTCCAACTAGCTAAAAGCTATGAACAAGGATCTGAAGTATTGTTTGGATGTTCAAGGCCCGGATACATTTTAATAAACCCTCGACCTATTACGTGCATACGTGAACCAGAATGTAGAATTATAAAGCCTCTTGGGTTAGCATCCGGTAGAATTCCGGATTCTGCTATAAACGCCACATCTGAAAGACCCAATTATGAAGCTAAAAACATCAGACTGAATTCTGTAACTGGGTGGTGTGGAAAACAAGAGGCGTTCACCTACGTCAGTGTTGATTTAGGGAAGGTCTATAGAGTTAAAGCAATATTAGTGAAAGGTGTTGTCACATCGGATATAGTAGGTAGGCCTACAGAAATACGATTCTTCTACAAACAGGCAGAAAATGAGAACTATGTTGTCTATTTCCCTAACTTTAATCTAACTATGAGGGACCCAGGAAACTACGGTGAATTGGCGATGATAACTTTACCTAAATATGTACAAGCTCGATTCGTTATATTGGGTATAGTGAGCTTTATGGATAATGCTTGTTTGAAGTTTGAATTGATGGGATGTGAAGACGCGGCACAAGAGCCATTGCTCGGTTACGACTACGGTTACTCCCCGTGTGTAGGTAAGTCATCGGTTCACCTTACTATTGTTAACTAATTTAACATTAAGTATTTTAAATCTCATAATTAATTAAACATTGCAGATAATGAACCACCCGTATTCCAAAACTGCCCACAACATCCCATAGTGGTACAAACAGATGTTAATGGAGGCTTGCTTCCTGTGAATTTCACTGAACCTACAGCTATGGACAATTCTGGTGCCATTGCGAGACTGGAAGTGACTCCTCAACACTTTAAGACACCTCTTCAAGTATTCCATAACATGGTTGTAAGATATGTGGCTTTCGACTTTGATGGGAACGTCGCGATTTGCGAAGTAAACATTACTGTCCCTGACTACACCCCGCCTAAACTCAGCTGTCCACAGAGTTATGTCATTGAGTTAGTGGATAAACAAGACAGCTACGCTGTAAATTTCAATGAAACTCGACGAAGGATTAATGCAACTGATGCTTCTGGAGAAGTATCCCTCAAATTTATTCCAGAACGGGCCGTTATTCCAATACGTGGTTATGAAAATGTTACGGTTGTAGCTACAGATAAATATGGCAACAAGGCTCAATGTTACTTCCAAGTACGTTTTTTTTTCAATTATAATAAATATGCAAATAATAACAATACATACGATTAAAGCAATAATTACAATATTTAGTTCGTTTACGTGTTTTATATGTACCTTTAATTAAAACTATATTTACCTTGTCTGTTCTGCAATTGTTTATTTTCTATTCAAGGTATCAGTGCAAGCCACACCATGTGTTGACTGGGAGTTAATGCCACCAGCCAATGGTGCTTTGAACTGTCTACCTGGCGATAGAGGAATCCAATGTATTGCAACATGCAGTCCCGGCTATAGATTTACTGATGGAGAACCAGTTAAGACTTTTGTCTGTGAAACTAAACGCCAATGGACACCAACCGCTGTAGTCCCCGATTGTGTATCTGAAAGTAAGTAAAAATTTTATGTTCCATATTTGATTTTTCAAGTGCGAAATCTATTAATTAACAAAACAAATTTGTGTTGCAGATACTCAACAAGCCGCGTACCATGTTGTTGCTAGTGTTCAATATCGAGCTCTTGGCGCAGTTTCAAATGCATGCCTACCGCAATACAAAGACCTACTAGCTCAGTACGACAATATACTTAACGAAAGATTATCTCAGAGATGTTCAGCAGTTAACGTAAACATTAACGTTACGTTTATTAAAGCAATGCCAAGTCTTTTGGATGAAAATGTAGTCAAAATGGACTTTGTATTAGCTATTATACCAGCTATAAGACAAACACAGCTGTACGACCTTTGTGGATCAACATTAAACCTCATTTTCGATTTATCGGTGCCATATGCAAGTGCTCTAATCGAGCCTGTCTTGAACGTTTCCTCTATTGGAAATCAGTGTCCTCCTCTTCGAGCAATCAAGAGTTCTATTTCACGAGGTTTTACTTGTACTGTTGGGGAAGTTCTCAATATGGACACAAATGATGTTCCCCGATGCTGTAAGTTTTTGATTTTTAGTAATCTTTAATTTTACGGTTTTTTTAATGTTTTACTGACGAACATATATTGATTTTAGTACACTGTCCTGCTGGTACTTTCGCCGGTGAAAAACAAAAGAGTTGTACAATGTGTCCTCGAGGTTTCTTCCAAAATCAAGCTCGGCAAGGCTCGTGTCTTAAATGTCCACAAGGTACATTTACGCGAGAAGAAGGATCTAAAGACCTATCGGATTGTGTCCCAGTTTGCGGTTATGGTACATATTCGCCTACAGGATTAGTGCCTTGCTTAGAATGCCCAAGAAATAGCTACACAGCCGAACCGCCATTAGGAGGCTTTAAAGACTGTCAAGCGTGTCCTGTTAACACATACACATATCAACCAGCAGCTTCTGGTAGGGACAAATGTAGAGCCAAATGTGCACCAGGAACATATTCACCTACTGGATTAGCTCCATGTTCTCAATGTCCAAAGAATTTCTATCAGAATTTGATCGGGCAATCTTTATGTATGGAATGTCCAACTAATATGAAGACTGTAGGAACAGGCGCCACTGGCTTAGAAGAATGTATTCCCGTTGAATGCTCGAATAGTGCTTGTCAACACGGTGGTTTGTGTGTTCCCAAAGGACACGGTGTCCAATGTTACTGTCCAGCTGGCTTCTCGGGACGAAGATGTGAAGTAGATATTGATGAGTGTGCTAGTCAACCGTGTTACAACGGAGGAACATGTATTGATTTACCTCAAGGATACAGATGTTCTTGTCCAACCGGATATGGTGGCATTAATTGTCAAGAAGAACGATCGGATTGTAGAAACGACACGTGTCCAGAACGCGCTATGTGTAAGGATGAGCCAGGATATAATAACTACACTTGTTTATGTAGATCGGGATACACTGGAATTGATTGTGATATTACGGTATGTACCACAATATATAATGTAAAAAATGTGCAATAAAGTAGTTTAATTACCTCAGTCAATATCTAATATGATTAATGTTTACAGATTGATCCTTGTTCCGCGAATGGAAACCCGTGCAAAAATGGTGCTTCCTGTACTGCTTTACAACAAGGCAGATATAAATGTGAATGTCTGCCAGGATGGGAAGGACAGCTTTGTGAAATAAATACGGATGATTGTATAGAGAAGCCTTGTCTTCTTGGAGCACCTTGCACAGATCTAGTCAACGACTTCAGTTGTTCCTGCCCACCTGGATTCACTGGAAAGCGTTGTCATGAAAAGATTGATTTATGTTCTAATGAGCCATGCAAACACGGTATTTGCGTTGACAAACTCTTCGTCCATAAATGCATTTGTGATCCAGGATGGTCGGGACCTTCGTGTGACATTAATATCAATGAATGTGTAATATCACCTTGCGAAAATGGCGGAAGATGCCTTGATGGCATTGACGATTTTACATGCAGCTGCGAAGCCGGTTACACTGGCAAGCGCTGTCAGCATACCATTGATGATTGCGCTTCTGATCCATGTCAAAACGGTGCAACGTGTGTCGATCAGTTAGACGGATTTATATGCAGATGTCGCCCGGGTTTCATCGGCTTACAATGTGAAACGGAAATCGACGAATGTCTGACTGAGCCCTGCAATCCAATAGGAACTGAACAATGCATTGACCTTGATAACAAATACAAGTGTGAATGTCGTGAAGGCTTTAGCGGAGAAATGTGCGAAACGAACATTGACGACTGCGCCTCGGATCCTTGCTTTAACGGTGGTACTTGTAAGGACCAAATAGGAGATTTCAAGTGTGTTTGCCCGTCTGGGTGGACCGGAAAACGATGTGAAAAAGATATCGGTACCTGCGTCAACTTACCGTGTCAAAACAACGCTAAATGTATTGACTTGTTCCAAGACTTCTTCTGTGTGTAAGTGCATCTTATAAAACAGTACAATTCTTTTCTATTTATTTTTAATTGAACTAACGTATTAAACTTCAATATCTGTTTATTTCTAGATGCCCGAGTGGAACTGATGGAAAACAGTGTGAAACCGCACCGGAACGCTGCATCGGTAGCCCATGCATGCACGGCGGTAAATGTCAAGATTTCGGTTCTGGACTTAACTGCACGTGCTCACTAGATTATACAGGCATAGGTTGTCAATATGAATTTGATGCGTGTGAAGCCGGCTTATGTCAAAATGGAGCGACATGCATCGATGAGGGTGAAGGATATTCTTGTATGTGCACACCAGGATTTACTGGAAAGAACTGTGATGAAGATATTATTGATTGTAAAGAAAATTCGTGCCCACCTTCAGCTACATGTATTGATTTGCCAGGACGATTCTATTGTCAATGTCCGTTCAACTTTACCGGTGATGATTGCAGAAAAAGTATGTATAAGAAATCATTATATATATCCTACAGTTAAACGTTGATTTGTTAATAAATATTTAATTTACTTTCTTCTACAGCAATTAGCGTAGACTATGATATGTACTTCAGCGATCCTCTGCGCTCCAGCGCGGCTCAAATAGTACCAATAGACACAGGATCTGCTGATAGTCTAACAATTGCGATGTGGGTACAATATACACAGCAAGATGAAGGTGGAATCTTCTTCAGTGCTTACGGAGTCAGGTATGAACTTATAGGAACAAAAAAGTGTCATCGTATATTTCACTCTGTATTCAGTGTTAAAGATTTGGTTTTCTTTTTCAGTAACTCACACATAGCACTAAACAGAAGAACGATAATCCAAATCCACTCAAGCGGCGTCCAGGTTTCGATATTCCCTGAACTCCAAGACGTATATCTTAGCTTTGGCGAATTTGCAACTGTAAACGATGGACAATGGCATCATGTTGCTTTAGTATGGGATGGCAGTAATGGAGGAGAATTGACTCTTATCACAGAAGGATTAATTGCAAGCAAGTTTGAAGGTTATGGAAGTGGACGAACTTTGCCCCAGTAGTGAGTATTATGCCATTTCATCTTCTCCTTTTTCTCGTGCCTCTCCATTACCGTTTCTTTGAAAACGATCTGTGCCATTTGCGAGATGATGATGAGATCCAATCCTTGATATTCACACACGCCTTCTGCCCTGGATTTTTCCCATCATAATGAGTTCAAGGAGGCAGACATAATCACATATAATTGTCACATTTTTTACTTTATACGGCAATTTAAATACATTTCATTATTTCAGCATGTGGGTGACATTAGGAAAGCCCCAATCGGACAATCCAAAAGCCTACACTGAGGCTGGCTTCCAAGGTTACTTGACAAAGGTACAAATATGGAACAGAGCTCTCGATGTAACAAATGAAGTGCAGAAACAAGTGCGAGACTGCAGAACAGAACCGGTTCTTTATAGTGGATTAGTTCTCACATGGGCGGGCTATGATGATATCGTTGGAGGAGTCGAGAGGATTGTACCATCTCACTGTGGTCAAAGAGTATGTCCAAACGGTTATGGAGGTGCTAAATGCCAACAATTGCAAGTTGATAAGGAACCTCCAAGAGTTATTCGCTGCCCTGGTGATCTTTGGGTTATCGCTAAGAACGGATCTACAATGGTTAACTGGGACACACCCGCATTTAGCGACAATATCGGCGTAGTGAAGGTTGTTGAGAAGGCGGGACACAAGCCGGGACAAAATCTAGCATGGGGAGCATACGATATTGCATACGTTGCATATGATGCTGCCGGCAACGCGGCCACTTGCACGTTCAAAGTCACCGTTCTATGTAAGTATTGCTGGTTAATGATATTTTTTTCATAGAAGTATAATATAAAAGACCTGTGTACAGTACTTATATGAATAATGCCTTTAAACGATCATGATTCAAAAATATGTAACAAATATTAATTCAAACTAAAAAAAAAACACATTTTTACCTACTTCCTTGGAGATAAAATACATTAAAGATAAAACACATGTTTTCCAAGCGAAAAAATAAACAAGATAAAAATGTTATTATTAATTATTTTTCTCAATAACGATAGAATTTTGTTTTCCGAGACGACATGTTTAAGTGTTAAGTACGCGTAAAGGTTCATGCAATTACCATTTTCTGAGTATCAGCAGCATTTTTAAACGTATTTATTTTCAGCTGAGTTCTGTCCACCTCTACCGGACCCTCTTGGTGGATACCAGTCATGCCGCGATTGGGGCGCTGGCGGTCAATTCAAGGTGTGCGAAATAGCTTGCCGCGACGGCCTTAGGTTCTCACAGCCCGTGCCACCATTCTACACTTGTGGTGCTGAAGGTTTCTGGCGACCAACCAACGATCCAACGCTACCACTTGTATATCCAGCTTGCTCTTGTAAGTTTATAATATCCTCATATGTTTCCTCTGTAGCTAAATGATTAAACGTGTTAGCATTGCGTTCAGCGTGAGATGTCCTGGGTTCGAATCCCAAAGAAAAAAAAAGTTTGTCGGATAGGGCCCAAAAGTCAGAATAACAACTAGCATGTAGACAGCCGATCAGTGAACACAAAAATGCGTTCGCCCCATGGCCTAGGGTGAAACAGGATTTCGCTTTATATTATGTCTCGTTCTAAAAATTTATTTTTAGAACGAGAATAATTTCGCTTTGTATTAAGTTATTTATATTTCTATTACTTTTTGATGTTAAAATGCAGCATCTGCTTTCAGCTGCTTCACCAGCACAACGTGTTTTCAAAATATCTATGGCCTTCCCAAGTTCTGTGCTTTGCAATGACGCTGGTCAAGGTGTGCTTAGACAGAAGGTGCGCAGTGCCATCAATCAATTGAACAGAGACTGGAACTTCTGCTCATATGCTGTTGACGGTGAGTTAAAATAAGCATTATGTAAAATTTATGCGAGTAAGTAGTGCACAACAAAATAAAACACTTTTAACGGTTTAAAACGCAAAATTTCTCAGTTAACTTGAATTACCATGGCCACAGCATAGCATCTGAAACGTCGGACCGTAGTTAAAATTCAGTTTTAAACGCATTTCGAGTTTTAAACCGGTAAAAGTATTTTATTTAAAGGCGAGTTATAATATTAAGGCACTTTTACTTCTACATACTACATACTTTTACAGCGAACAAATATAAGATACATATTTGTTAAGTATTTACTTATTAATAAAAAATTAAGACAACGCTGCTAAAGTTCTGGTCTGGTCGTTGGCCGTATGTCACTTGTGTAAGTTGATGATCCAAATTAGTTTTTAAAATGATAATTTACCGGTGAATGAGGGTATTAAATAATTTCTGGCCCCTGTAATAGGGTAGTAAGTATCCTAAACTTCCTTCTTTCTCATTAAATGTCTATATATTTCACTTCTACCACAGTGCGACCCATATTTCTTTACCCGACAGTAAATATCTGTGATATTTGAATTCAGGAACAAGGGAGTGCAAAGAGCTCGACATAAACGTGAAGTGTGACCACCGTGGCAATATTCGACAGACTCGACAAATATCAGCTCAGCCAACAGTCAAGTCAGAAGACACCTACGTCCTCGATGCTATTATCCCGGTTGAAGAGTGAGTTTACCTTTATACGAGGCGCTTGTGGAACGCTAATGTAGTTAAACGCTAGTATTAGATTACTTTAGATGAAATGAATTACGACCTTCGGTCAAATGGTGCTGGGGTAGACGAAGTATCTGCAGAACTATTAAAATACCTCGGGCACACTTCTAGATTAATTGTAGCACTTTTGTATAGAGCAAATAAAGTAGTCTCCTCACTCCTTTATATTAGTAATACTCATTTGCAAGAAGCTCGTTAAATCTTTAGCTGAGCCACTCCCTAAAGAAATCATGGGAGGATGCAAAATAAAAGATTATAAATCCGATAAAAGAATAACTTAGTACAGTTTAAAAAATAACAAAATGTTATTAGTGTTTAAATACTGTCTATAGTTTACGCGAGTAGTATACATTTAAATAAAACACTTTATAGGTTTAAAACACGATATATTAGTTAAACTTATTTGAAAATTATCTTGAACTCCGGCCCGACGCTTCGGGTGCTTTTGAGCAGCCGTGGTCACGTGGAGACACGTCGGGCCGAAATTAAAAATCATTTTTAAATAAGTTTAACTAATATATCGCGTTTTAAACCGTTAAAATGTTTTATTTGTTAATGTTTAGAATTACATATGAACATAAATGCAACTATGTAGTTGTCACAATTACATGTACTCTTTTTTTATTATTAAAGTCTGTGACAAAATTAATAATAAACAAATTTACTTATCTGTGGTTGTACTATAATTGAAAATACAAGCGTATTATTTAATACTGGGCGACTAGTAACGATTTGATCTCTAGTTTGACATTCTATTTTTTCCTTCTTAAGTTCTCTTACATTTAACTTAAGGTGGTTCTTGCAATTGAGTGTACTTCCAACTGTATTACAGTAGATACAATCTACGCATGTTTCTTATACACTGTTGCATGTATTTTATGGCACATAGGACACGAAGCAACCGAGAGGGACGCCAAGCAGGAGACACGTATAGCGTCGAGATTTCGTTCCCGTCTGTTAAGTAAGTTGCACACTTAAGCACTTCGCACCTACTGATTAAATACACAGATGAAATAATATAGCTACTTCAGTTTTGATACTTTGGTAGTTTCATATGTCGAAACGAGACATATGTATCATAAAGTTATAATACTAATAAAGACATTCATGACGACACTTACTAAAATAATAACGATTTATTTTCTATGAAATATTTAATATATTAAGTTTGAATTAATTAGTAATTAGTAAATATTAATATATTTCGTAATAAATTTAAGTTAGAAACCACATCTGTAATTCATCTAACCTACGTATCTTAATACTTGAATTACATTGCTAAGCGTTTCGTCAAACAAGAGAGATCTGAGGTTCAAATTCTGCGGATACGCTTAAAATTATTTAATAAGAGAGACAGAAAATGTGCTCCATGCATAGAACAAATAGAATTTGATATTATGCCTTACTTAGTTATAATAATTCTAGTGTGAGCTAGCTGCTTTCACGTTATCTGTGTAAAAGCTTAATTGAATGTATTCTGGCAAGTTAACACGTAGCAAGGAACTAACATGGAATATTCCATTTACAGCGACCCGGTAATCCATAACGGAAATAACGAGAGATCCACAGTGAAGAAGCTGCTGGAGAAATTGATTCTAGAAGACGAACAATTCGATGTACGAAGCATTTTACCGAACACTGTGCCGGATCCGGCCAGTTTGAAATTGGAATCGGATTATGCTTGCCCCATGGGCCAAGTTGTCATGGCTCCAGACTGCGGTAAGTTCATTTAGTTATTATTGTTATTCGTGGATAAGATCAACGATAACATAAGTATGCATAGAAGTTTTTCTGTGCTCAACCGTAAAATGTACTAAAAATCTACTTCAATTTACAGTATCATGCGCGGTGGGTACTTTCCTGGACGCTGCCAGTGATTCGTGCCAGCCTTGTCCTTCTGGAACTTACCAATCCGAGGCCGGACAACTTCAGTGTACCCCATGTCCATCGATAGCTGGTCAATCAGGAGTTACCCAGGCCACTGGAGCAAGAAGTGCTGCAGATTGTAAAGGTACTTTGACAATTGAAAGAAGAATGACAAAAACATTAGAACTATAGGAAAATTTAAATTTAATGACATGAATGAATGACATTAATGGTAAATACTGTCTATAGTTTACGTGAGTAGTACACATTTAAATAAAACACTTTAACGGTTTAAAACGCGATATATTAGTTAAACTTATTTGAAAATGATATTTAACTTTCGGCCCGAGTCTCCCTGTGACCACGGCTAAAGTGTTTTATTTAAATGTGTACTACTCACGTAAACTATAGACAGTATTTAATTAATGTTGTTTATTTTTTCGTTCTGGATTAGAGAAGTATTTATATATTATTGTTAGTTGTCAAATATCCAAAGCCAAAATACATCGACAGCGCATCTAAACAAGATTGTTGAACAAGTTGATCATCAAGTGAACGCTATGCTTGTCTGATCTACTCTATAATAAAAAAAAACTTTACAATTTAATAAAATGAACAATATTGACTACTCCAATTACACCTGGTACGAATTATAAGTAGATTGAGAGAACCTAACCCGCTTAAGCCAAGCATTATCAACAGCTGCTAAATATAAACGGAATTTCCAGAGAGGTGTGCCGCTGGTAAATTCTACGATGCTGAAGCTGAATTATGCAGACCGTGTGGTCACGGCTCGTACCAGCCGCGAGAGGGCGCTTTCACGTGTATCGCTTGTCCGAGAGGTCAAACTACTAGAGCAACAGAGGCTGTATCCGCAGCTGAATGTAGAGACGACTGTCCTTCCGGTAAGATCAATATAATTGCAAAATCGCTCCAAAACAGTTAGGCCAATTTTTATTATAGAAAATCAGAAAAAATTATTAATACCGAAATCAGTCAACATAGGCCATAGGCCTCTATTCTTTTATAAATGTACATTCTGTTTGTACATAAAGGATATCTAAAGTCAAAATCACATCTTGTTTAGATGTTATATGACTAAGGTATTAAATCTTCCATCCTCCTCTACCATATAAAAAAGATGGTTGAAAATCTTACGAGGTTTTATATCATAAGCATTATATTGTGTGAAAATACACAATCGCGACGCAAACTCGAGATGTGGCTTGTAACTTTTTAGTTTGTTTTTTTTTTTCATTCCGAGCGGAGATATTCTTGGCAAGGAACGGTGCCAGTAAGTAAAAGAAACATTTGAATGCACATTTTTATCAACCTTTTATTGACGAGTTGGTGTAATGGTAGCAATGTATAGCTAATAATCAACTAGTCGTGGGTGCGATCCCCACCAGGTCCAATATGTTTCTAGTCAATTTGTATTTTAATGAAACATCTGGATGTCTGGAAAATGCCGTCCACAGATGAAACAACTGTCAAGTTTAATCGCGTTTCGATTTCATGTGTATTTATTTCCGAGTATACAAAACCAAAATAGGTCAACGGCGTTCGGCGTTTTGCAACTGAACAGGTTCTTTAAATATTGCTACTATACATTTTCTGTTCGTAGACGAGCATCGAACCCCTGATAATTGATTTGTAAATTACGATTTCAATTACTTTACATAATCGTTGCCATTATTTTCTACCAGGCGAACAGCTGAGCAGTGAAGGTGGCTGCGAACCGTGTCCTCGTGGTACTTGGCGCGTGAATGGCGCCGGAGCGGCCTGCGTTTCCTGTCCATCGGGAACTACCACACCGCAAGTTGGCGCCGCTTCGCCCGATCAATGCTCCTTACCTGTCTGCAAGCCTGGTAATTATAAAGTTTTATAAAACAAGAATAACAACAGGTCACACACATTATTAACATCGTTAAATATATTTTCTACGTACACATGTATTATCTTTGGTTATTGTAAAAAAAACTAAATGCATAATAGTAGTTATAAGTACACTTTTAAGTCATTTAATAGAAAATTAAACAATGATGGCGTTTAAAATGGCTTACACGGTCCAATTTAATTATTATAAACCAAACCTACTATGTACATAAAAACAAAAAACATACTTTAAGCAAACAATTATAAAACTATATTTGGTTTCATTCTCAGTCGATTTATTGTTGTAGAAATATTCGTTCAAATTCTTTAAATCAAAGGATTTCATGAGAATCAATATAAAACTTTATTTACTCTAGTTTTAATATTAGGCACTTTAGTAAAATAAAAGCATCTAAAGGGTTTTCTGAATTAACAAAGCGGAGTTATGCATAATTAATGAAAACTGTACGTTCGGATGCCAAAATTTTAACTCGATATAAACCGTTTGCACTTATTCAGCTTGTTTTATTATTTATTGTTTCGTTTGAGTAATCCTGTTTCACTTGTACACAGTTTTAACTAAATTAACTAACTTTATTATTTTAAAATCTAGAATGAAAACTACTGTATGGATATGTTTTACCTACTTTTAAGCTAAGCTAACCAATTAATTCTGATAATTGAACTGAAAAGTTATGTTTGAAATACCGTTCCACCATAAAACAGTAGCTTTTTCTGTGCCTATGTGCGCTTACATCTTTAAAACTATGCAACGAATTTGGATACTTGTTTATTTAATAGATAGAGTGATTCGCTAGTTAGTGTAATAAAAATTACACTCCTCTTTCTGGTTGTTGTTCTTTGTTTTTTGTATTGCAAGATGACATTCGAAGCTCAGTCTAACCACAGATTATATTTCCAGGTTCATTCCTGAACGCGACGCTGAACACTTGTATTCTGTGTAAGAAGGGAACCTATCAGTCACAGGCACAGCAGACTATGTGTATAGATTGTCCAATAAACACCGGCACGAACGAAGCAGGCGCAGTAAGTATAATCAATATTCTATTGTAATTGCGACAGAGGATAGACATGGGGTTCAACATTAAATGAAACATTTTAACGGTTTAAAACACGAAATGTATTAGTTTAACTTATCAACAGTTTAGTTTAATTCACAGACAGAACTCGCTTAATCTTCGCGTGTATTTTCTAGACGGAGCCCAACATGATCAGAAAATATATTACATTTATTAGAAACTATAAGGAACCCCGTTTTTATCGAAAGCGACCCCTTGATTATTAGCAATACATTGCTACCATTAGATATACGCGCGTGTAGAAAAACTGTAATGTTTATCTTCAAACGATTTCCTATGTAGTGCAGGTAACAGAAATTTCTATGGTTGTTACTCTACTCGATCTTAAGAGTCTTAGCACTGAAGCTTATCGTAAGAACGCCGAACCGTAAGAATTCTAGAAATAATAAGAAAAATTGGAAATAGAATAGATACGTCCAGTATTATTGGAATTCTTGAAATAGTACTCTTATTTACGCAGCTTATTAGCTTTCTCCCTCACACAATACCGTGACAAGAATATTCTTTAGAAAGAGACGATGATTATGATATTGATTCAATATTCCCAGCTGATTAGAAATTAATCAGGAGATGAAAAGGTTTTGTTTTATAGAAATACAGAAATACGTTTCTAAGAACCAAGGTCTATAAAAAGAAAAAGACTATAGAAGGATTTTTTATTACTTACATAATTAAGACAAAAGACTTTAACGGTTTAAAACGCGATATATTTTAGTTAAACTTATTTGTTAATTGTTTTAACTACGGCCCCACGTTTCGGATGCTTTGCAGCAGCTGTGGTCACGAGAATACTATAGATGGAGAGTGTCTCCGATGTCAAAGTAAAAAACTGCTACGCTAGCGCCATCTGTTCCGTCGAAGGTATTTGGCGAAACAGGTCCTTGCAGAATTGACTAACGGTGTCTTCACGTTTGTTAAGTTAAACTAATATATCGCGTTTTAAGTCGTTTAAGTGATTTATTTAAATGTGTAGGTACTACTCGCGTTAACTACAGACATTAAGTACTAAAGTACCATAGTATCATAGTATCTTAAAAGTTTTTGACTAATTCTGGTCTGTTTCCTTTTTTGTTCAACTTAATTCGCTGAAAACAGTGTTAAGTGTACGGTGATCGCGCATTGCACTTTTACTTTAGATTTTTGCGTCCATTTCAATAATCCATTTTTTTATTATCAAATAATTAAACTGAATTAGGTAGGTACCCTACCGGAACTATTTATTATATTTTAAGCTTCCACGGCAGTAGAGCCATGGAGCCAAACTTTGATCGGCAAAGTTTTAAATAAGGTCCAAAAAGATTGTCAAGTTCTTATTTCAATACCTTTTTTCACAGACCTCAGAATCAGATTGCACGAACCCATGTGATATGAGTGGTCCCAATTTGCACTGTGACGTCAACGCATACTGTCTTCTCATCCAGGAAACAAACGAATTCAGGTGTCGGTGTAAACCCGGTTTCAACGGCACTGGGGAAGTTTGCACAGGTAATGTTCAGTTATTTCTCAGTTTTCAGATCAGTAAAAGAAAAAGAAAATTTCAAGCATCTTTGAACTCTATAGATTTTCATTCATTTGTTTTTATATATATTTAAATACAAATACTTACTTTTAGATGCTTATAAACATCTAATCCCCGAGAGAACATTCGTTATTCAAACATGAAGATTAACTTTATTCTTCGCACTTTACTATTTAAATTTGATCTCCCAGAAGGTGTTTAATACATTGTTGTATCCAAGTGTAATTTCAATCCGTTTAATTAATTAATTTCCCCGCTCGCCTAACTACAAACGATAATAATCTTTGAGAAAGCTTTAACCCGAATACTTGGCTACATCTTGCTTGGATATTTTAACTTTATAACTAGCCGGGTTATTTTCTTGGAGCATTTGACCCAAAGTTCAACATAAATTTACTTTACTTACCAAAGTTAAATCAGTACTTCTGAAATTGTTGCGAATTCAACAAGCATTAACTTGGTCAATTAGATATCTACTACCTTATCTCCCAGGATTTCAAAGATTTACTATAGAAATACATTCAAATAAACTGTTTAAAACGCGAAATATAATAGTTAAATTAAATTAAATTCACTTTAACTAACTTTAAACGTTAACTTAAATTCGCGAATAAAAGAGGGAGACATAAAAGGCGCGAGTAATACCTACACTTAAATAAAACACTTTAACTGTTGAAAACGCGATATATATATATATTATAGTAAAACTTATTTGAAAATTATTTTAATTATGGCCCGACGTTTCGGATGCTTTCGGAAGAAACACAATATTTCGATATTTATTGCTAAATAATTAAATATACAAAGTAATTTAATAAAGGAATTTGTTAATTTAATGGTCAAATGTTAGCCTAGATCAGGCCATTAAAAATATTTCGCAGACCCTGAGGCATAACAAAACACGCTAAAACTGATGCATCAATTTTCACACAAACAACAGCTGTGTGATGGCTACATGAATAGAAATTTTGTTATTCCTAGCTGGCCAAACTTCGTGCAATAGATAAAAAAATCGTTCGCAGTTTTTTATTCCCTTTCACACAAACCTTCTGCCAGAAACAAACATAGTCATTCTTCATGTATTGTATCAATTGTTTTAAAATATATTGTATAGCTTTAGCGCGATATTTATAGCCTATATTTTTGCCTATAGCCTTCCTCGATTCCTTCTTAAATGCTCTAACAAACAAAAAAATACTTTTTCAATTTGAACTTGTAATTCCTGAAATTAGCGCGTCTAACAAATAAACAAACTCTTCAGCTTTGTATATTAGTATAGATATTAATACTTCCGATCTTAAATTCCAGATGTCTGCATCGATTTCTGTGACAATGGTGGCGAATGCGTGAAAGACGCTCGCGGTGAGCCGTCGTGCAGATGTACAGGTTCCTTCACTGGACGACACTGTAGGGAGAAGAGTGAATTCGCGTACATCGCCAGCGGCGTCGCGGGTGGCGTCATCTTCATCATATTCTTAGTACTCCTCGTATGGATGATCTGTGCTAGGTAAGATTAATCTATCAATAGTGTATTTTTTCTAACTTGGCAAAAGATTACAACAAATATGGCCGAATACAAACCATAGAGATTTAATGACGCCCTTTTATAGTGTAGTCATTGCAACACGTCATGACATTGGGTTAGAGAAATATGGACAAAACGACCTCAAGCGACGCTGTATGAGTAGGACTTTACTTGTATCCCATCTTTATGTAAATGTCAAACTAAAGAAATCTGTGCATCTATGTAAATTCATTTTTAGGATTTCTATCAACTAAAACAACAAATTCTGTGTTTCTTTGCTAAAAATGCCAAGTAAGAAAAAACACAGTTTATGTATTTTATCTCTTTAGTAAAGTCACCGGATGTTTACGAAAAGACCATCCTAACTTAAACTTTTCTCTAGGTCATCGAAGAAACGCGAACCAAAGAAGACATTGACCCCAGCTATAGACCAAAACGGTTCCCAAGTGAACTTCTACTATGGAGCGCATACACCTTACGCGGAGTCCATCGCTCCATCACACCACTCCACATATGCCCATTATTATGACGACGAAGAAGATGGATGGGAAATGCCCAACTTCTACAACGAAACGTATATGAAAGAAAGTTTACACAACGGCATGAATGGAAAAATGAATAGCTTAGCCCGGTCGAACGCTAGCATCTACGGCACTAAGGAAGATCTGTATGACAGACTAAAAAGGCATGCATACCCTGGTAAGAAAGGTCAGTATTTGGAGCACGTAATGTAGTGCGCACATTATCTAATTTTGCAGCTTATCACATTTTTTGCTTGTTGCATGTGACCCTTCATTTATATATGAAATACATTTTGTAAACCTGTCTACATTAAAGAAAAAAATGACGTCACTTTAAATAAATAGTTTTATTATTAACAAGTGACGTCATTAATCTATTAGATTTATAGAATGTATAAACATTCTTTAGAATTTGTACTATATATCTAAGACATATTGATAAAGTAGTATGAGTTGTTTAGTTAACGAGAATTTAAAAGGATCCATTCATACTTAGTCCGTTTTTCATACTTGGTCCGATTGATTGACAGCCTTATAGTTCAGTTGTAAAGCGCATTGTTTAACATTGTCATGGGGTCGAATCCCAATAGCAGACATCTAAATAAGCGAGACGCCCTAAAGAGTACGGGTAAGTAGGAGGAAGATATTAAGTGACTTCTAAAATAGATACCCACTCTTGTCATTATACCACTTTGTCCATTAAAAAGTCGTGGACAAGTGGATATATGTCTCATCCGTGATATCCCGATATACGAGAACGGAAAAATTTGAAAAGGGTCTTTTATCCCTGTATAAGGTAATTCGTTAACTATCCAGCTCGTACTAGGCCCAATGTAAATATAGATAAAAATATTTACGTCACATTTAACAACAATGATGTAATTCCACAGATAAAAGTGACAGTGACAGCGAGGGTCAGTAAACAACGGAGGGCAGCGGTGTCGTATTCTGGTCAAACTTACGTAATAACATGTCTCGGGAAACTGCTATTTTTTTAAACAATTATCATAGACAAACTCTCCAAACTATCCCTTATTAAATATCATAGATTCTTTTTTTTCTCAAACTTTATGGTGCTTTTTAATTTTCTCTTCCTTTCCTAAAAAACTATACTATTATATAATTTGACGATGTATCACAATATGTAAATATATGAGTTATATCTATGAAAATTGTTTGGCGTACCGAGACGTAATATAGAATTTTGTACTCTGTTAGCTTTATAATTAGGTTTAATTTTTAATAAGCAATTAACACACTCACTGTTTTCCGCCCCACCAAATACACTACACTTCACAAATGAGCATAATAGATTCACACGTCCGTGCAAAATTTCATTAAAAACAGTGAATGTGTTGATGTTCATATGTCAATCGAATGCTCAAGTATTTTAGGCGAACTGCCATATCAACGTGACGAGGCGTTTTTACGTGACATTCCAATAAAACTTTGATATATTTTTTACAATGTATTAGTGTAAATAAATATCAACTTTGTATATTTATCCTCTGCGGTCTTATACGAGTTATCGTTAGGTTTTGTACATCGAATAATATTCCGATACTAATGTATTTTAAGACGTTTTTATATTTTTGTATTATAGAGTTGACTGTACTTATTGTATTAATAAATCAATTTATGTGCGATTGTGGGTGTAAATGGACTGTATAGTGTTTTACAATTATCAGGATATACAAAAGAGATATGAAGTTAAATGTAAAATACCTTAGTTTAAGAAGTGATCGTTTTCTACTACGCACGAAGTCGGGACAATATTGTAGCACTTTTAATAAATCGTTTATATTTATGGCATATCAAGCCCGCCTTCGTTTAAAATAATTTCATTTGAATTATATTCGATAACATTCCAATTAAAAAAATACTCATCATGTTTTAGTGGTCTGTATTCCATCACAATTTACCACGTTAGTGATTAACAGTTATTTTACAAAAAATACATTAAATATATATGTTTATTTCTGTGTTTTAATTTAACATCTTACTTCTAACAAAAAAAGCAGGCTATCGTTATTGGGTGAATCATTATAGCTTAATAATTAAAACTTTACGAAAATAGGACTATGTCGTAAATTATATAAAAATTCTTACAAATTTTACAGTCTTACTTATAAGTAAAGTTACTTAGCGTGCTTTTCGTAGAATTCTTTCATGTACTTTACTAGAAATTCCACTTCTTCTATGGTCACTGCGTTGTAAATGGATGCACGAATACCACCAACACTCCTGCAAAAAAAAACAAGACTTATTGAATTGTAAGAAAAGATTATTTGTTATCAGGAGAAATTATGTGAAGTCATCTTAAATTTTGATAAGGCTGACAAAATTATTTATCATCGTGACTGGAAATAATATACCGTGCTCGTTAGTAGTACCATTAAAAATAATAACTATTATGATATATAATAACAGAAAATGACATTACAAAACCAAAGTACAAGAATCTAGGACAACATTTTTATATATTCCTTCCTAATAGGCGACTTAAATTGTTTTATTCAATACATAAATGAAAGTTATCATATATACTGTCTGTAGTTTACGCCAGTAGTACACATTTAAATAAAACACATTAACCGTTTAAAACGCGATATATTTTAGTTAAACTTCTCGAAAATTATTTTAACTGCAGCGCGACGTTCCCCCATGACCATGACTGCTGCAAATCATCCGAAACGTCGAGCTGTAGTTAAAAATTTATTTTTAAACCGTTAAAGTGTTTTATTTAAATATTCATATATATTTTATTTTCAGACAGCTGTAAACTTTCCGTCACTTTATTTTTTAGTAGTCTTACCTGTGTCCTTTTAACTGTATTAGGCCTAATGATTCAGCGCCTTTCAAGAACTCTTTCTCCAGAGCTTCATCACCGTTGGCCGAGCCAACTCTGAAGGGCACGTTCATCTTGCTTCTAGCGTCTTTCGCAACTGGCGCGTAGTAGAATCCGTTAGATTTTTCTATCATTCCATACACGAGAGATGATTTCTTTTGCGACAGTTCCGCCATTTTATCGAGACCTCCTTTTCTTTCGATCCATTCTAGACATTGTCCCATGACGTATATACTGAAAAATGTGACATCCATTTTAAAATGTCTAAAAATCATGAAGTTTTATGACACAATAAAGGTATTTATTGTCATAAATTTAAGGGTAAAAATAAGAGTTAATCTAAGTCAGTGCCCCATTGCCCAAGACTGCTGAAAGCATCTGTAACGTCGGGCCAGAGTTCGAATAAATTAACTAATATATTTCGCATATTAAACCGTTAATGTAGTGTTTCGGTTTTAATGTAGTGTTTAGTGAACACTTGCGTTAACTACAATTTTACGAGGCGTAAAAATAAGGAAGATTTTTTTTGAGTTCGTTTCCTGAAGATTTCAAAAACCTTTTTGTCAACTTACCAATAAAATGTAAAGAAAACTATCTCCGAGATGACTTAATCTCAAAATATAATAAACAAAACTTTCGTCGTTCGTGATAACACGATAACATTCGGTCGTTCAAAGATCAGCGAGAAAGACAAAGCAATGACATTTCGTGAACATTGACTGGTTTAAGTTCAATCAATCATTATACAAATATACCTATCAGGTTAAGTGATAAAATAACTTTAAGTTATTTTGACAGATTTAAAAATATTAGTTTGAAAGTAAATAATATATTTTACGAAAATATCTTTAGTCTTTAGTTTAGAGATTATAACATAAGGTAACCTTATAAACGTAATTATAACATTATTCACACTCACGCGAACATAGGTGGAGTATTCAGTATGGAATCAGCTTTAGCATTTGCGGTCCAGTCCAAAATAGCTGGACAAATTGGTAGAGCCTGATTCAGAAGGTCTTCTCTCACTATCACTAAAGCAACACCTGATGTACCTATGTTCTTTTGTGCACCACCGTAGATAACACCAAACTGTAGAAACAATATCTCGTATGTGACAGGTAAAACTTAACATAAAGGTATTACTCGGATTAAAACTAGAGACACCAAAAGTAACGTAGTAAGTCACTGGGTGTAAAAGTTAAAGGGGTTTTTTCCCCAATTTTTTTATAGGAAATTTCTTCCCCCGCCGTTAAATTTTCTTTTTATGGAGGGCCCCCCCCCCCCCGGGGGGGGGGGGGCCCCCCCCCCCCCGGGGGGGGTTTTTCCGGGGGTTTTTTTTTTTTTTTGGGGGGGGCGCCCCCTTTTTTTTTTTTTTTTTCCCCCCCCCCCCCGCCGGGGGGGGGGCCCCCCCCCCCCCCCCCCTTTTTTTTTTTTTTTTTTTGCCGGGGGGGGGTTTTTTTTTTTTCCCCCTTTTTTTTTTTTTTTTTTTTTTTTTTTTTTATCTTAAATCGCTTTCACAGAGCACGCAACGGAAACTCTCAATCTATACTAATATATAAAGCTGAAGAGTTTGTTTGAACCCGCTAATCTCAGGAACTACTGGTTCGAATTTAAAAAAATATTTTGTATTCGTTAGAAAGAAGAAGAAGAACTATGTATGAAAGAATGATTCCTCTTTAACTGATCCAAAAAAAGTCCACGAAGGTATATGTCTATCTTGTAAGATTAACTTGAAAGAACTACGGGTCGCAGACGACGTCGGGGTAACAGCTTAAGTATATAGAGTTCAGCAGGAGGTTTGCAAAAACAAACATTGATACCCAAAATACATTTTCTACGCGTACTAAGTCGCTGACTCAGCGAGTAATGTAAAATAATTTTACATTACCCGTTAGTTCCACATGTCGCACTGTTTTTTGACTCCTATTGATCAAATCGTGATGCTCTATAGCCTAAAACCTTCTTTAATAGTGCTCTAATCAACACAAAAAGATTTTTAAATTCGAGCCAGTTCGTGAGACTAGCGCGTTCAAACAAGCAAACGAACTCTTCAGTTTTATATATTAGTATAGATAATAAATATACTTATTATACAAGTGCTGAAAAAATAGCTTACGATTTTGACGTAATCTCCATTTGTTTTTTTTTCGTAGCCGTCGATTTATATTTTTAATTTTGAACGTAAACAAATCCCTTTATTTGCTTATTGTAAGTAAAAGGTCGCAATTAAATACGGGAGGGACCAAGTTAAAAATACTGCAAATCGGATTAGCGCCATAAGCTAAAAAAAATCAATGGGGCATTTTCTGCGCAGTACGATTATCTTGGATAAATTAAAAAATGTAAAGATCTTCAGAACGGAAAATTTCTAATCATAATCATTCTTAATTTTTTTTGCAACACAGTAATCGTATTATCTTTTTCGTCATACAACATAAATATTACAAATCCCCCATTATCAGTTCTTTTAGACGAGACTTTTGTTGGCATCAGTGATCGTTAAAGATATATTAGAAAAATCTAGCTGCAAAAATTATTGAAAATAGAATTTTCCCAACTAACTAATACATAAAGCTGAAGAGTTTGTTTGTTTGAACGCGCTAATCTCAGGAACTACGGGCTTGAACTGGAAAATTATTTTTGTGTTAGTTTGAGCATTTATCGAAGAAGGCTATAGACTATGAAACATTGCCCTGTGACTAATACAAGCGAAGATACGGCGAGAAAAGTGAAAAGAATTGGAAAAATTATTCATCATTATGGCTTACTCAGGCGTACGCTGCAAAAACGGTTCAAGATACCCAAAAAATATGTATGAAAAAATTATTCCTCTTTAAATGAAGTTAGGAAAAGCCCCCGACGCTATACGTCTATATGACGCTAGATGTAGTATATAACTAGCTGTGCCAGCGACTTCGTTCACGTATAATAGTAATTTTGGACATTAAAATTTTTGCAAACCTCCTGTTTATATTTATAAATGTAAGCTGTTACCAACGGCATCGGTTGCGTCCCGTCGTTCTTGCAAGTAAATCTTAATAGATAGACATATACTACATACTTTTTGGATATCTTGTACCCTTTTACACATCGCACGCAACGGAAACCCTCAAGCAATAATAATTGCCCCATTTTGTTCACATATCTCGCCAATTTTCGCTCTTATTAGTCTTATAGCCTATAAGCCATTCTCGATAAATGCTCTAACCAACACAAAACTATTTTTGCAATTTGAGCCTGTAGTTCCTGAGATTAGCGCGTTCAAACAGACAAACTCTTCAGCTTTATATATTAGTCTAGATATAGATATACACGTCGCGCATTAATGATAATATAAATATACCAATATTTCTTAACCACTTTACTTTTACTTACTATTTTATCAATGTTATGAAAGAATTTACAATATTATTATAATTTGAAGCTCATATTATTAACTCTCGATCACGTGGCATGACGAAACAAAATATTTGAACTAGTAAGATCCAGTATTTATTATAAAATTAGATAAGTATTACGTGTGATGATTTAAGACAAATTTAAAAACCGGTTTAAAGCAGTTAAAGTTATAAAAAAAAGTTATTGACCATAATGACCTCTTATCATTTTTCATCACGTAAAATTTGCAGTCCAAACATTTTATCAGTTGAAGTGTGTGTAGTCCACTTTACAAAATTACAAAGCTAGGATTCGGATCATGATTTTTTCAGCTAAAGAAACTATAGCTTATATAAAAATCCTTTAAACGGTTTAAAACGCAAGATATATAAGTCGCCTTTCCCCCGTAACTACGATTTCATATTACTGCTACATAACTAAGTCGGGTTAAAATAATTGAAATATTTTATCCAATATATTTCGTGTTTCGAACCGTTAAAAGTGTTTTGGCAAATTATAGGTTATATTAAATACTGTCTTAGTTTAGCGAGTAGTAAATTTAAATCACGGCTGCTGCAAAGCATCCGAAACGTCGGGCCGAAGTTAAAAATCATTTTCAAATAAGTTTAACTAATATATCGCGTTTTAAACCGTTAAAGTATTTTATTTATATATAGGTTATATTGTTATTGTTTAATTTAAACAGCGGAAGACTTTGCCAATTTTATTGCAACGAAATGTTACCTTAGAGACATCGAGTTTCTTCGACATGAAGTTCGAAGACATATCCGCAACCAAGGGGACTCCCTTTGTGTCAGGAATGAAGTCAAATTCCACACCTAAAACATCAAAACTATGTTATCAATGCTCCATTAAGTCTTCATGTTTTGTTATCATTTGAACTTCGGGATCTTTTCCTGTTTGGGTTGTTACATGTTACATCAGTCATCATCGACGAAATTACTTAACAGATTTCTCTTAGCTGATATGATATTATTGGTGTGTTATTGTTAAATACTGCCTGTACTTTACGCGAGTAGGACACATTTAAATAAGTTAAAGTTTAACAGTATTTCATATTAGTTAACTTATTTGAAGATTATTTTAACTACAGCCTGCCGTGTCGGATGCTTTGCAGCAGCCGTGGTCTCCCCGCAATGTTCAAATAATTTTAACTAATATATAACGTGTTTTAAATCGTTAAAGTGTTTTATTTAAATGTATTATTGTTGTTTAGTTTTGTCAAAACTACGTGGTATCATTATAGATATATAAATTTTCTTCTATCTAACATGGTCAGATCTCATTTTATCTACCTAAAGAATCTCGTTAACATATAAATTAACGAATGTTAACAACTAATGTTTTTAAACGTAAACACTTTTAATATCATTCAAAGTGTTTACGATACCTTATCGGACATCAATGATCGTTAGAAGCTAGATAATATTTTTATTGCAAAGAAAATCAATAAATGCAAATAATTGTAAACCAATAATTTTAAGTGCTCAGTAGAAATTATATAAAAAATATTTAATTAATTCTTAAGTGTGACTTTCGACTTTACACGTGGATTTCATATTTAAAGCCACACAATACAAGATGCAACGCATTAAGTATATATATTGTATACTGTATTTTTTCTAACTTGGCGAAAGACACAGACACAAATGACAAAGGGATGAAGAAATACGATAATTTTATGATGACCTTTTTTATGTCATTATTATAACTCGTCGTTTGTAATGCTTTTCAGCGATCGTCCACGAGCGGGTCTTTTACCTACTAGTGACGTTGACTTTACTTACATACCATCCTTATGCAAATGTTAAACTAAAAAAAATATTTTCTGTAAGTTTATGTAAATTATTTTTAAGGATTTTATTAATTATAGCATGAAATTGTGGTTTTTACTATGTCAAATGGAGATAGTTAATTAGTTTAATATATAATCCAGTGTCAAAGTGTTATAGTGTTAATCAATAAGCCTTGTGTAGAACTCACGTTTTTGTCTAAATGATGTGCTTGTTAATCAAAAATGCCAAGTTAGAAAAAATACACCATATAAAACGTAACAGATACATGTTTTAATAAGAATATACAAACTTACCGTGAATAGTTTCATTGCCACAAATATGAACATATGAAGCATTAGGATCGAGGTTCCATGTAGACTGATCAGGAATTCCCGTGTATTTGTCAGTAGCTGGCAGCACCAAGTTTACTTTGCCGAATTTCTTCGCTTCCTTAGCCGCCATGGCCGACCAAGACCCTGTCAATATTATAAGTTCAAACGTCTAGAAAACATTGTATGGACACAGGTTAAACACGTATCCATTACCAACCTTCAACTACTTTGCTTAAATAATAGACAGAAATTATTGTGATTTAACATAAATTGTTATTATATACCTTAAGGTTTAAATAGTAACTCTGATGGACTAATCCTATTATAAGTCAGATAATAATCTGCTTTCAGATTCTTGAAAAAAAAATAAAAATAGATTAATAAATGAAAAAAATAAGACACGGGCAGTACTTGAACCGGCGTCCACCAGAATTCACTATGGATGCCAGTTCATGTCATTCAATCAACATGTGAAATTAAAATTTTTAAAATTATTAAATTATTGTAACAACCGTTACTGTGCCATTATTCCAGTGTGCTATTATACCAGTTAAAATATACCTGAAAAGTAAATATCTAACATTTACACTGGAACATATGAATCATCTGTATTGCTCGTATAGACTGAAAAAACTTGCCTGTGACAACATAATCAGCTGTTCCGGTCCTGGACATCAAGTTCAGAGGAACCGCTGCAAATTGACCTTGGCCTCCACCAGCTAAAAAAAGGATTTTGTAGTTGGATGGTACATTCCTAGGGAAAATCCATATATTATATATTGAAGGACTCTATGGTGTAATGGGGGCAATGTATTGAGCTAATCTCCGGGTCGTGGGTTAGATTCCCATCGGTTCCTAAATTTTCCTAAACAATTTATATTTTTTCTTAAACATGTCTACTTCGTCTGGAAATTTGGATATTAATTTGAAAATGCGAAATATACAGTTAACTTATTTTTAATTTTTTAATTACGGCTGGTTCTTTGATGTATATGTTATAGGCAAGGGTTCAATCCCTACGGGGTTTTTCATTTTTCTAAACAATTGATATTTTTTCACAAACACGTCTACCTACTTCGTTTGGAAATATGGATATTGAAAGGATGCACGGCACGAACCACCGTCCACATAAAAAGCCATCAAGTTTAATCGCGTTTCGGAATTATGTGAATTTCAAAATATCCTGTGCCAAAAATAAGTCGACAGTCCGTCTTGTTTAATGGCATATTTCACCTACCATTAAGTAAACCCCACGACTCGTCTCTCATAGAAAAGAATATAGGTCAAAGAAGAGTAAAGAAGTAAGTTTTTGACAGTGATATCAATGCCGCATAAATTATAGACGCCGCAGTCACATTTCTGTGTCTGTTTCATTGATGAATTTAATTTACGGGCATTGTTCAGGGATTTATATCTAAGATGGATCGAGCCTAAGGTATGGCTAGGCTTGCGTTTTATCATTAAATTACGAAGGCAATAACAATTTATTATCGATCAATAAAGGGCATATAAATGTACTATACAAAGACGATAAAACATAGGCGAATTCCGACCCCGAACAGTACATTTTGCGTTGACACTAATTGTCTCACGGTCAAAACAATGAAATTTATACAAGATTATGATAATAATTCACGCAGTTACATAATAATTCGATAAACCAACAGAAATTTTTTTGTATTAACTAATTATTCAAATTTAACTAGAACTTAATAACTCCCCCTCTTCTGTATTATTGTGTATTTGTATTCTAAATTACTTTTAATGTAGGTATTTCATTAAAATTGCAATTTGCAATAGAGTTGCAGTGACCTAGAATCCTAGAATTACATCTAACACTCGCGCCTCGTTAAGAGGAAAAGTAACAAGGATAAATAATATATTTACACGTTCACGTAAAAGTAAGTCAAGTTAATATTACAATCCCGAATTGCGTCAATTGAATATTCATTTATTCAACAAACATTATGCATTCCGAAATAAACAAAACTACTCACAGAAGTCGCCTAACAGTTTCTTGAACTGCAGTATTAAACTTCATATACGCCGGTGTCCTGTGACTCGTTTCCATCAAACTTATTCCAGATCCTTTGAAGTTCGTTAACTCGTCTCTTATTATATCGTAAACCTTTAAAAATACTACGTTATAGCTCCAATTGTAACGTTATAATACCTAATATCAATCACCTTACCTCTTCTGGCATTTTCGCCGGACCGGCACCAAAGTTGTGTATTTTCGGCATATTTATTGTTTAAATAAACTTTATTGACGCGGCTGTACTCCTTCCAATACAAAAGGCGACTGATTGATTACCAAATGCCCTCTATTGAGAAGTGACTGCAAATTATCCACACACAGTATCGTACGATAACTTGATAAGGTTGTAAATAAGATATAATAATAAGTAGGCGTAGTGACTAGCGAATTAATTTATCTATTTTTTATTATTTTATTTATGAACTACCTGACAGTTAAAAGTTACTTATGTCTTGAATTAATATAAATATGAAGGCATGTATTAATTGTCTCATAGTTATTACAAAGTTATTACTTTATTTTTACATTACGGTTGTGTAGATAATCTTCTGACAAAATAATAAAACCGCCTTGAATTTTGTCTTACATACTAGAAATCCAACGATATTTTTATATTACTGTTTAAATACAATATCAGAACACGCTTTCATAAATATGTTGTTATCCAGGCGTGTTAAGTATACATTACGCAGTAATACATTTTACTATTATTTTATAATCTGATAGAGTTACTTATACTTAGTTCTGTTTCGTATGTAGGCGGTTTGTAGTACAAAACGAGAAAAGCTTGTTTTGCAGAACTGGTTTCATTCGGTAAGCAATTAGGCGCCAAACACGTAGGTATGAATTATATATTTGAAGTAAGTAAGTAGGTGAGTACTACAAATGAAAATAAAATACTAATTTTTAAACTTAAATTTTCAGTAGACATACACGACTGAACTATCAAAATAAAAACATTACTTGTGTTTCAATAATTATTACAAATACTTAGTTTTTTACAGCTTATTCTATAAAAACTGCCAAAGTTAATAAGTATGTGTCCTTTCATAATTCTTTATTTTTATTCACACTCATACAGTCAACTGTCAGTCGGCACCATGACATTTTATATCAGCGGTAACATTGAGATGTCAAAAAGAGCATGACATTGACATTGACATACGTGTAACACTCACTGTGTTACACGTATGTCAATGTGACACAGAAAGAAAATCATTGCCAGCTTCGTCATTTTACCTATATATGGGCGTTACAACTCTTATATTGTACTGGTATGTAGTATGCATCTCACATCTGTATCATTTTTTTTAATCATTGCAGTATATTTCTAAAAAAGCCTTTAAAGATTTATAAAGTGGACATATTAACAATATTTTTTCCATTTTGCAGTCATTAATTCAGTATATATTTTTTTTATAATGGCAAAAAGTCGGTGCAAATTTTTTAATACGACACTAGCAGCACTTTTATTCGCCTACTTTGGATTTTACACAAGTTACCACAGAATATAGTTTTAGCACTATATAGTTTTTACTTCGTTGTGTGATAATGGCTCTTTGTGTGTAATTAACAATTTCTACCTTTACGTGCTGCACGGTTACCTCATTTATGTGAATATTGATTACTGTAAGTGCATCATTAATTGAAATAAAGTTTAAGCGCCGTAGGACATGCCTCCCGTAAAAGATGAAATGATACGAGAAATTAATTGTTTGGATCTAAGCATAACTGAGAAAAGTCCAGCCAAAAACAGTGCACTTGTCGATGTGCGAGCGTGTAATAAACCCGCTTCTAAGGTACGAATATTTTTTTAAATAATATAATATACTTTTTGCACGATTGTGTTAGTGTGTAAGAAATATCGATCGCTCTATGACCCTATTTTTATATTCACTTAGTGAAGTATTATGCTATGTTTTCCGTTGCGGCTAGTCGGTTACTTAAATGACTAGTTATATGTTATCAAAGTTTATGATGCTGATTAATTTCTCACGATGAAATACTACTAAGTAATCTCTAACATAGAAAATCACTAAAACATTTAGTCAATGTTGAATTTCCAGACAAGTGAAAATACATTCTCACTTGCTCTATCATTGTATTATTTCTATATCTGTTAGATGCTGTGAGAACATAAGTTTTTCTTTTCTAAATGTGTCTGAGATAATGGGAGGTCTAAATTTTTATCTTGGTGTAAATTAAAAATCTTGTTTTGTTGTGACATATATTGGCAAAGAAATTAAACTACTAGAAACAATTTTTTATTTAATTTTAATCTGATTCCATTCATAACAGTACATAGTCTAACACTGGCTTCAAAGTCCATGGTTTAGTTGTACGAGCAGCAAAGTGCTCATTTTAACTTATCTAATTTAGGAATCAGGCCTATTGTGTGCGAAGTGACTTGTAATTATATCACAAATGATATAACAATGGTTCATATCTAGCCACTTAAAAGTCAAAGTGTTGGTTTCTGTAACGCTTTGCTGCACATGTATTCATCATGCAATATGTATATTACTACATAGCTACTACAACATTTGGGAATGCAGTTATAATAGTTATCACAGACAGAACTGACAGAACATAAGAAATGTGTATCCACACAAATAGTGATAAATATAACATAATACTTCTTAACAGTAATTACAACAACTAAATGTAATATGGTAAAATAAAGGTCTCTTTCCAAGTGAAAGGAGAAATCTGGAATTCTTAATAAAAAACAAAATCAAAAATAGTTATCACATCCAAGAGAGAAAAAAATATCAAAATTATATTTTTTCAAAAATGATACAGAAGATTAGTTATATTATTGCAATAAATTTATTCAACAAATAAATAATAAGAAATTATATAATATCTACCTTTCCAAATTTTAAAACTAGGTACTAGGTGACTCTTCACTTTCTCTTTAACCGACTAGTAATAAATTGGAAAGCCTTTGACCTCTGAGTAGCTATAACTTATACCACTCGAAAGCAACAAATTACACAAAATTTTTGTGCAATAAATTGTTTTACATCGAAACACGGTTAATTGATATTCCATCTACCGTCTGTTACCAGCGTAGATTAAAATTTTCTCTCAGCATCTGGCTACATGTAATCTTTTCACTTTTTTTTCGCGTCTCGCTCGCAGCACGCGTTTGTTCGTACCGCAACAATCACACTTATAATTGCCTTTTTAAGCACGTTAAATGTTCACGTTTACGTAGAGAATGTTGCCATAATTTTGCACAATTTTATGCCTTTTGATTTCCACTGGTGGTGATTAGATTTTTTGTTTACTTTGATTATTTCAGTGTACCCCTTGCAGCTCGTGATGTGGGCGACTGAATTTTATGTTCTTTATATACTTTTTGTTTTTTAAAATGCACAAGTTGTATTCATAGTGTTGAGCTGGATCTATGTAGTGCATGCTTACAATCACCCGAAGTAGAGAAGCCATCATGACCAATTCTCAGGTTTGTTAATTCTATTATGTTTACAAAGTAGTGCTTACACGTGCAGTATAAAATAATTTCACAACACCTTAGTAGTTTACTGTTATGTATGACTTTGAATAAAGTTCTCTAAGAATTCAATTTATATTTGGGTCGATCACTGCATGACATAAGAATTATAATTGATCCAATTCAGAGTTCTCGCAACTCGTAAGGCTCAAGTAGTTTATTTGCATTTAAATTACAAAATAGTCTGTTGCCTAAATTCAAACTTATTGCAATTTTTAAGTTGCTCAATTATGTTATTGCATATTGCACTGTATTATACCATTGTTTTCATTTAGAAGTTTGGTGCTTAAAAGCTGTTTGTAATATTCTTAGTCAATAAGCCCCCACATGGGTAATTTGGTGCATACTTGATTTGTCCTTAGAAAAATAGTTAGCCCGCCTTCAGAGACATATTTTCCCAGGACCTCCTACTAACACATTACAATGGGTTAAGCCCCAGTGGTCCTTTGCATGTTGTGTTGTAATATTATTTAAGTAGGTATAACTAGCGGACAATTTCCATAATTACTGTAAAATATTTCAGGTATGGTTCCGTGGCGTGAGGAGCTCCAAATTCCGTCACGTTTACGGTGTACCATTTAAGCGGGAAAGATGCTATGACAACATAAAAATTACGAGAAATGCCCACGACTCCAACTTTTGCGCAGTGAACCCAAAATTCGTAGCTATTGTCACCGAGGTGGCTGGTGGTGGGGCGTTTCTTGTTCTTCCATTGGACAATGTGAGTATTAAATTAATTTATTTATTTATTATTCTTAAAGACCTTTATGCAAACTAGCCCATAAGTATTTAATTTACAGACAAGCACAGCATTGCTTATTTATAACACAGGGGAGATAATATAAAATACAACTATTTATATGTCTATAATATTGTGTAGTGTATAAAAAATAAATGATATATTAAATAACAATTTAGTTTGCCATAAGGGACCGTTCAAGTATTACGTAAGCACTATAGGGGGGGGGGGTTTTTTTTTTTTTTTTTTTTTTTTTGAGGGGGGGGGGGGGGAGACCAAAGGTTTTTTTTTCCTTTTTTTTTTTTTTTTTTTTTTAATTTTTTTTTTTTTTTTTTTTTTTTTTTTTAAAAAAAATTTTTTTTTTTTTTTTTTTTTTTTTTTTCCGGGGGGGGGGGGGGGGGGGTTTTTTTTTTTTTTTTTTGGGGGGGGGGGGGGGGGGGAAAAAATTTTTAAAATTTTTTTTTTTTTTTTTTAAAAAGGCAATTAAACAGTCTTTTATATTTAGCAATGTTTGAGACCAAATTGCAAGGGGTCGCCTGTTTTACGTGAATAAAATTATCTTCCTTTAAATAGACACATATTTTACTTGAATATTCTACTACCTTATTAAATTCCAAATGCGATAAACCAAGTGAATATAACAGATCATTATAGGGAAGAATATGTTTTTTCTGCCTATGTCGTTTCTATATATCTAGATGGCATTATGTAAATTAAAACCTAAACATATATAAAAATTCCAACCCCCCCCCCGGTCTTTTAAAAAAAAAAAAAGGCGCCCCCCCCCCCCCCCCCCCCCCCCCCGGGGGTTTTTTTTTGGGGTTCCCCCCCCCCCCGGGGCCGGGGGGGGGGGGGGGTCCCCCCCCCCCTGTTTTTTAACCTTTAATTTATAATGTAAACACTGTCTGTAGTTTACCCGAGTAGTACACATTTAAATAAAACACTTTAGCGGTTTAAATCTCGCTATATATTATTAAACTCGACCGGCCTAGAATTTTCAAATAAGTTTAACTTATATATATCGCGTTTTAAACCGTTAAAATGTTTTATTTAAACATTTATATTTTTACAAACATAATTTATAAATCATGCACTGATGCAAGCGAATTACTAATAGTGCTTCCTTCCTTAGTGGAAGTTCCCTGTCCCCTATATACATATTAGCCGTCCCAATTTAGGTTAACAGCAGTGACCTTAATAAATCAGTTTGTACAAGAACAACACACTAAAATAGACAATGACTATTCACAATAAATATTTGCAAATCATTTAGCGCATTCTAGCGATGTTTTACAAAGATTTTGTCATCCGTACAATAACACGTTTTAGAGATACAATACTATTTAAAACTGGTCTAAATGTTATGCTCAGTTAATTAATTTTAAGTATGACACGACTTTAGTCATGCTTCTCGTGCGAGGGACCTTTTAAAATGTTGTTTTTTTAATGTGCAATTACAAAAATGTCTTTCCGGTATTCGTTTTAATTTAATATCTATAAAACTTAGTAGAATTCATTGTTAACAAAGCAACAATATAAGAGGAACTCCAACCAATACGATTATATGTAATTAATACTACTAATACTCGTAATTCATATAATGGTAACTTCTTATAACGAAGAACTCTCTATAACATTGAATAGGACACAATACTTTGTTTACCCTATATATTTACTTCATATAATGTAAAACTCACAGCCGTTACTTTTATTACGGATAATGTAACTTATTGTAACCGTTCTATATGTTTATCAAAGTGTATTCGAAAAAAAATAAGTAAGTTCGTAATTGACTTTCTTTTCTTGATCCTCTCTACGTACCACCTACCCGTAGTCCTTTATTTTATTTTCCCTTCACATTTAGTTGCCAGAAAGTAATCGCGATAAGGCAGCCTATTATGTATAAGCTAGTTCATAAGTTTTTATATATGTAACACATTCCTGTGGTGTTTATGAATAATAATGCTTAATAAATAAACATGTACCTAAGGGGTTGTCCATTAATCACGTGAGGCTTGAAAGGGGGGAGGGTTTTTTAAAAAAATCACGAAAATAACACAGGGGGGGGGGCTGTAGTAAGATATCGCGTGTATTTATTTTTTCGTCAAACGCGCGATTTTTAAACAAATGGTGTAGACATTTTTATTATGGTCTTTATTTTCAGAAAAAATAAGATTATAGTTTATACCTGTATTTAAATTAAGATAATATTCAGAAAATTTTAAGATTCTTTGTAGGTACTAAAAATACACGTGATGTTTAGAAGGGAGAGGGGGTTAAAAATTAATAAAAAAAAGATCACGTGATTAATGGACAACCCCTAATGTAATAATTCGGTTTCAGTCTGTGGATTTCCGAACATCCAAAGCCAAAATAGTTGACAACGAATCTTTGACAACGAATTTAGATATATAGATTTAGATGCTATAGGCTGGGGTATATCACCTACCATCAAGCGAACCCCATGCCATGTCCTTCTCTACCATTAAAAAAAGTAATAATAACGGCGGTTTAATTAAAAATCCAATTTATGAATCAACACAGATTATTCTTAGTCGTCCATTAAATTATGTTGATTAATTACATCTGACATGAAATTGAACACGTCTCGTGGCGGCCATGCAATCAACCTTGTCCATTACATGTATTAGCTATGAAACGAGCGATTTGCATATTATCGTAATAAGTAATGTGTCACTTTTAGCACTCATTGTACGCATTGATGCATAAAATGAATATACAATGATGATATATTCCGCATTGCTTAGTTTCACCAGTCATTTCTTAATTTTGAATAAATCACGTTTAACGGTTTAAAACGTGATCTATATAACCTAATTTATTTACAAATCAATTTTAACTACAGTCTGACGTCTCGGATGCTTTGCAGCTGCGTAAATTTCGCGTTTTAAACTGTTCGGTTGATCTAATGTTTCCATGTTTCTAGATTATAAAGACATGTTGGGCATTGTCTTGAAGTTTGAATATTGAAAGGGTGGTAGGAATATCGAAGTTCTGTCCGGGTCACGAACCACTGTCCACAGATAAAAGCCGTGAAGTTTAATTGCGTTTAGGTTTAAGTCTGGATTTCCAAATAACCAAAGCAAAAATAGGTAGCATTTAGTTTTTAGTCCCATCCAGCTACATTGTGACGAATTGTTCCATTAGGCATTACTCCAGGTAATTGCTTGGAAATAAGCGTGTCCACTATAATTGGTTCATGTACATCGAACAATTTGGTCGTACACGCATTTACAGTATCAATATACAACGCAGAAAAAGTACTGATGTCATATCTTGTAACAGTCATTGGTTTACAAGTAATTAGAAATCTATCCTTATTCTTATTTACATCACTGACATCACTCGCGTGTGCTTCTTTTGTTTTTGTTTTAGAAAAGACTGGTTGTTGTCTGTTTTTAGGATATAGCTATGCTTTTCTTTAAGCTTGGACCTCGTCTGTAGCTAAATGGTTAAACGTGTTGCCTAGCGTGCGTTAAGCGCAGGTCTTGGGTTCCAATCCCGGAAAATCAGTAAATTGTTTCGGTCGGACAGGGCACAAAGTCTGATCAACTACTTGCCTGTAAATAAAACCGATCAGTGAAACGGACACAGAAATGTGTTCGCCCTATGCCCCACGAGGGGAAACGGGATTACGCGCTTTTTTTTTCTTTGAGCTTATAAACAATCCGCTCTTGAAAACTTTAATATTTTTCACATGTTATTGCACACCATGGCACTATATAATTTAATTGGTAGAGCAATAGCATGGAACGCTGACGAACCCGGTTCAAGTCCGGCCCGAGTCAAAAATTTTCTCAATTTATTTTAGATTTTTAAATAATGCGCTTCTGCTTGAAATATTTATAGGTTTTTGTTAGTCACTTAGGATTTATTTATTTGTTTGAAATACTTCTTATGAAGTACTAGGTTACTGATAAAGTATTATCAATTACGTATTGCTTATTTTACGTTTTATCTTTGTATATTGAAGACATCAATAATTGGTTCAAAATAAACAATAGGTAACTGTAATTAACGTTTATAGTTTACGCCGATTTCTTAATCGGCTCTACAAGCCCTAATAAGTTTTAAAAGACAGTCAAGTAATAAGGATGTTATTTATTAAAGTTATACATATACGAGAAGCCAATATTCAATGGACATTATTAATACATAACATTCAAATAAAAACTAACACACTAATCAGAAATACACTATTCGGAAACAAGAATTATTTTATAATTGTAAACGCATCCCTTAATTGAATCGATCCATAGTTGGCAAAAAATCATTTTTATAAACATTATGTATGATGTAGGTATATGGTGATGTGATAAAACATTAAAATGTTTTAGACTGGCCGCCTAGACTTCAACGCGAGCCGCGTAACAGGGCACAAAGGTCCCGTTCTCGACATAAAATGGAATCCGTTCAACGATAACATAATCGCTTCTTGCTCTGACGACTGCACGGTGAGTTAAAAATTTTCCTAAAAGCCAATTAACCCGTTAGAGTAGATTAAAGATTTGGCTTGCGCGTGAGTTGCATGTATCGTATCTTCAAGAAATTCGACGATGACGTGTAGGACTCAGTAGCTTAATTGGTTAGAGCCGCAGCACGGAACATTGTTGCTGGTTCGAGTCTCTTTTTAGTTACTTTTTACCTTAATAGCTTTATAGTTTTAGCAATTTATTTACATTTTAATGCAAACTATGGTTTATCCAACACACTGATCCCATCTGATAAGGAGACTTATCAGAGATATGAAACACTCAAACCATAGATAAACTTAACGTGAACATGTAAATTCAATTATAAGAGGAAAATAATGACGTCATTGTCAAGTGGTTTCAACTGCAATGAAATTCTACAAAATGCTATGAAAATTTCAATATACCCACTTTTTCACTGTTTTTGTGTAGGTCGGGTAGTTTCTACATATTCATGTATATGTAGAAACTACCCTACCAATAAAAAAAACGCATTGAATTTAGTGTTGCAGAAATTTACTATCCTTTTTTTTAATAGGTGAAACTATGGCATATACCCGATGGCGGGCTATCAATGCATTTGACGGACTGGCTGGTGGAACTCCATGGTCATAAGCGGCGCGTAGCGTATATTGAATGGCACCCTACTGCTGAAAACATCCTCCTCAGCGCTGGGTTTGATTACTTGGTGAGTGAATTTGTATTTATAGTTCTAGGAAGGAAGGTATAATATTTCTTACGTAAATATGACACTTCTGATCTGGGTCTTGGGCTATGGCTAATAATCAACGGGTTTAATCCCCACAGGGTCCAATATTTTTCTAATCAATTTATAATTTTTCTTGAGGTGAACTTCGTCTGAAAATCTGGATATTAAATGGGCAGGAAAATCGAACTTCTGTCGTGGTCACGAACTACCGTCCACAGATAAAAAGCCGCGAAGTTTAATGGTGTTTTGGTGTCAGTCTGTGCATTTCCGAATATCCAACACCAAAATAAGTTGACAGCGTATCCTATTAAGATTTTATATGACTGGGGTATTCAATTATCATGTGAATCCCTTACTCGTCTGTCCTTCTCTACCTATCATAAAACTTAAAATGTATTATAAATGAGTCAACTTATATACTTCGCCTTTTGACCGTTTAATGTGTTTTATTTAGACGAAGCCTCTGGTTAGTCCTTTGTGTAACACAAAACTGGATGTATCTAATAAACCTTCAGCAAAAGACGTCTTGCCTTCTTAAATTAAACAAGTCCCGTTAAAGATGCTAAAATAAGCACTAATCGTTCTATACCAACAGATAAATCATTTGTATGTACAGATAACTGATATTTATTCAAATTATTATTTAAGCCATAGTAAACACTTAAATATCTCTCTGTCTTAAATATCTTTCTTCGGTATATTATATAAGTATAAAAAGTTATTGCTAACTCAAACGTTTAACACACAACAAGCTTTGGCTTTCGGTTTTCGCGAAAGTTTATTGCTCCGTCATATTATTGAGAAGAAGTTTTGCTATTCATTATAAATGAGTGAGAATTTAAACTCCTGAACAATGAACTTCGTTCGGTTAATCAATAATTTATTCTGTTACTCTCTCTTTCGATCGGCGATTTTTCACTTTCGCTTTAGAAATTGTTCGAAACAAATTACATATTTCTACTAATATGTGTATGTTGTGAAGACGAACTATTGGGTAATAAGTAGAGATGCGCCGAGTAACGAGTACCGACTTTTAGTTGGCTCATTATGTTTTCAACCGAGTACTCGTCCGAGAACTCAGCTTCAATCAAATTCCCATTTAGTAAACAAGTACAAACAGGTTTGCGCCGGCCAAGACGTCGGCTCGCTCTCATCTTTTCGTTTGTCTCATTATTACAAATTAAACTAGTTCTAAAATTATATTAATTGGGATTTTCAAAGATTACTTAGAAAAAGGATATTTTTTTTTGGTTTATCACTGTTGTTTTAATTATATCTGCCTAAATATATTGCTTTTCTTAAACAAAGTATACTTGTTATCAAATAACAAAGTATAACCGAGTTATTCGGCCGAGTACTCAGAGTACCGAGTATCACCGAGTACACGGCTCATCTCTAGCAATAAGTATTACATCTGTATTGGGAAATACAAAAGGTATAAATTAAAAATTGACTATAAATTGAAAAAATATTACGACACATCTACAGCGTTCCGTGCTCTATATACCTAATCGATTTTTGAATACATAGTGCCCATTATGAGCCAACATGTGAAAATAATATTTAAGTTTTTTTGTATTTAATTTTAGATTTTCGTATGGGACGTCGGCAAAGGCGAGGCTGTGAAGATCATAGACTGCCACAGCGACGTAATCTATTGCATGTCCTTCAACAGGGACGGGTCTCTACTTGCCACCACTTGCAAGGACAAGAAGCTGCGCGTCATTGAACCGAGGCGGGGTATTGTGCTGTCTGTGAGTGCTATTTATACTCGTATTATCATGTTATGAACTTATTAGTAACGTGAGTAATCATATATTCAGAGTTCAAGGACTTCTCTGATCTAAAGAAACATTTAACTAGTAAATTATTTGAATGCTTAAAATAATCTGTGAACTTACCTAATTTGAATGAAGAAATCTGAAACTGAAATTCAGCAAGATACCATCGTTGGCCCTCGCATAGAAAAGCACAAAGGCGGATTGGAATTTAATCTAAGTACTTAATAAAATGCAAATATTTATTGAAATACTCAAAAAAATTAATATCAGCTATCGATGGAGGCTAAAGTGGAGTTTAATGGAGAAAGAATAAAAATAAAAATCAATGTGATCGACATTGAAAATAGCATTTAAACACTTTTAACTGTTAAAGATTTATTTATTTATCATGAAATATTAACTTACTATATTAACTTATATATATAGCTATATTAACTTATATTCTATTTATTTTAACTACAAACCGACTTTTCGGATGTGTTGTAGCAGCCTCGGTTAACCTCGGGTTGTGCTTAAAAAAATTAACTATTCTATATTATATATTTCGCGTTATGAATTTTAATTTATATAGTGCCATCGTGTGCAATAACAGGTGAAAAATACGTATTTAAAAATTTCGTGTTTAAACCCGTTAAAAGTGTCCCACTAGACTACAGACAGTACTTATGTATTTTTTATTCTTAATAAATTATCTGTGACACACAGGAAGGCCAATGCCACACGGGCACCAAAGCATCCAAGTGTACTTTCTTAGGCAGCCAGGGACGTGTCCTCACCACGGGTTTCTCGCGGTACAGCGACCGGCAGTACGCCGTTTGGGAACAGCACGACCTCAGCAAGCCGCTCGTTTGCGAAACCATTGACAGCTCATCGGGTGTCGTCTTCCCCTATTACGACTATGATACTAATATGGTAGGTTTTAGAAAGCTTAATTTGTACATGGTAACGAAGTATTCTGTCTGTACTGTAGAGATACAGATTCAAGTATTTTATTTATAGGTTTTCACTTATTCATATGGCCATCTAGGAAGTCTCCCCTATAAACTGTCTTATTAAAACTGGTTACCAGTTAAATTAAATTTAAATTTGTTTATTGACTCTCTCTCTCTCTTTTAATAATAGAACTACAACTTGTATTGTTGCTGTGTATAAAGTTTCGGCACAGATTCTTTATACCTTTATAGTTTAACCTTTTCTAAGTGTCGTTGTACAAAAACTATTTTGTGGGTATTTATTTCAGGTATATCTTGCCGGCAAAGGTGATGGCAACATTAGGTACTACGAAGTGGTCGACATGCCTCCCTATGTCCATTTTCTGAATCAGTTTCTTTCTGGGAACCCACAGGTGAGACTAATCAAAGATACATATTTAACATTTAATCTAACTTGGCTTAAATGGGCATCCAAATAACAAAAGAAATTGAGATAATACATCACACATCTTTATGACATTGGTTTTAAAGATGGGTGGAATAATGTGAATCATAAGAATGGAACAGCCTTCTTCACAAAAAGATATAAAATTGACATTTTATAATTGAGTCATCTTTTCAGCGGGGTCTGGGCTTCATGCCCAAACGAGGTGTCAACACGGCACAGTGCGAAGTATTCCGTTTCTATAAGCTGCACACTTCTCGTGGCCTCTGCGAACCCATTTCCATGATCGTGCCAAGGAAATCTGACTGCTTCCAGGTAAATATTGTGTGATTCCAGTTACCTGGAGCGACTGGAACTACAAGGTTATAAGTCATATTTGTAGTATACTATATTATAATAAGTTGAAGTTAACTATTTATGTCTTTCATACATACATCTTGTCGTTAAAAGAGACGTTAACTGTAGTACTTTGTATTAAGTAAAATTATTGCAGTAACTGCACTCTCTAGAAAATATTTACGGGCTCGGTCTAATGATAGCAATGCTTGGCTAATGATCATCGGGTTCGATTCCCACCAGGTCCAACATGGTTTTAATTTGACTCTGGATCTTGAATATCCAAATTCCATGCACAAATAAGAGCCGTTAAGTTTATTTGCATTACGGTTTCAGTTTGTGGGTGTACGAATATCCAAGGCCAAAATAGGCCGACAGCGCATCTGGTTTAAATGTGGCTGGGGAACATCCCATCAAGTGAATCCCGTGCTTGTCTGTCCTCCTCTGTATTAAAAAAATATATATTGCATTATGCTAAATAAAATATTACTTCATTTTGTTGTCCTTTTGAATACATTTTTGTTTTTAAGAAACATTAACACATTTTCGCCTGGTCTTCCTTTCTTCCATCGGGTATCTCCTAAGATAACCTACTTATCTTTCTTCAGGATGATCTATACCCAGACACTGCTGCTCCTCAACCAGCTCTAAGTGCCCGTGATTGGCTAAGCGGAATGAACGCACCGCCTTTGCTGATCAGCCTCAAGACCGGGGTGACGATAACTACTCACAAGCCGCGCACCAACAACAAAGACACACCAGCGCTTCAACCCCAAGACGCTAACAATAGGAAGAAGTTCGCCTTCCTGTCAAGGGAGACGACGCCGGATTATCGTCCACTTGGCACTTGGCAGCGAGAGAACCACGTCAATGATAATGAAAGCGTGCAGGTAGAGTCAACTTTATGACGTTTCGGTTTCAGCCTGTGCATTTCCCAATATCTATAGCCGAAATAGGCCGACAGCACATCTTGTGTATAGGCTGGGGTATATGACCTACCAGCAAGTTGGGACCCCGTGCTTGTTTGATGTCCTCTATCATAAAAAATATAGATTTTCCAAAAGAATACATGGTCTTAATAGATTAACATGCAATTATCTCTAAGATTAAGCTTTCGATCTTTATGTCTCTTTACCGATTGATTCTATATACAGATAGCAGGTAAGGAGACCGCACTGTGTTTGTTCTCACAATCACAAACGGTAGCCATACTTTATTAAGGAGTTGTAATGTACACTGAAAGTAAATCAAAATGGTTGACATCTTGTTTTATATTTGTTGCCCCCATCTCCCCACCCTCTCCCCCCGCTCCCTCTTATAAATATTATAAATAACAAATTTCTAAGTAACTTTTTCAACTTTTTTTAATTTTGTTTTAATGTTTCGATATTAGGTAACGGAGAAATCCCAAAAGACGAACGCAAACCAGAACACGAAGTTCCACCAGCTGCAGCGCATGTTTGGCAAGCAGCCCGGCGAGATGGAGCCTGTGCCGCTGTACAAGCAAATTAACCATGGGGACGTCTTTACTGAGCATGAGGTATTTTACTATTATTATATATTCCTATATAGCAGTAAAATAGAAAACCGATTTTGACTAGATTTTCGTATTAATGCAATTCTGCAAAGACCCAGCCAGTTTTGCCAAATACCAACTTCGACGGAACAGATGGCGCTAGCCTAAGCAGTTTTGTACTTTGACGTCAGAGATAACATCCATCTTGTCTCGCCGTGACCAAGGCTGCTGGAAAGCATCCGAAACGTCGGGCGGTAGTTAAAATTATTTTCAAATAAGTTTAGTCACGTTAGTGTTTTATTTTAATTTGCACTACTCGCGTAAACTACAGACAGTATTTTCATATCCTGCCGTACCACTAAAATTCACACATTCTCCAGGATTCGAACCCACTCACATAATTTTGGGCAGCTCGCATTCAGTTACATTGGCGATTTTTGTGCTTTAGAATTTTCATTTTTTTTTTTAATTTTTATAATAATTTCAGTTGCGTCTCGCGTTCAACCGCCAAGGCGAAGAGCTACGTATCGTAAAACGCCAGCTGCAAAACAGTCAGCAGCGGGTTCGAGAGCTTGAACAGCACATTGCTGCACTGCAAGCTAAATTGCCCTCTCAGAATAATGGTGTGTAAATCTATAGGTTGATATTGTATTTAAAAATATAATTGTGGTTTATAGTCGAGCAGAAATAATGTAAATTCTACTTTATTTTCAATTTCAAAGAATCTAACCCATTAACAAAATGATCCGATGCATTTGATTCGTTTAGTGATTGAATCGGCGATCAAAGTATAGAAACAATACATAGCTTCGAATGATTATTCCAGTCTAACTCTGATCAATACAGAATGAACTTATTTAAAAAATTAACTACCGCCCTGATTTTGTCCTGTGCTTTGTTCAATATGGAATGAAAATTTTATATCTATTGTCTAATAATACATACCTATTCCTTATTACACATTGTAAAACATACTAGTGCCTATAAAGCATTCTTTAGATGTCTATATCCACACTGGAGTCGGTCATTTATATAATTTATCTCCTGAATTTATTATTATTGCGTATTAGTACAAGTACCTAAGTGTACGTATTGATAATTCTAAAGTTCGCCTGATTTTTTTTCTATTAAAAGTAGAGAAATCTGTTATAAGTATTTTTAATCGTTTATACAATAAGATACTTTTAATTACTATTAACTATTTTGAATGTGGCTATACCACAATTATATTGTTTGATACTTAACCACCGTTGCTTCTATTTGGCTGTTTATTTTCTTGCTGTAAGTTAATTGTAAGAATTCTGCAAGTATTCTTGAAAACGATATTAGAGTTGTGTGATAAGCTTATTAGCTGGAAGCATCACCATTGTGGCTGGCCACACGTGCCAACGAGAGCGCTTGTCAAAGTTCCATGTACCTGTTCTATGAGCATTTTCAATTCGACTATTTCAAGGCTCAGTTATAATAGTTTCTTGTATTAGGCGCGCTATTTAACTTGAGTTCTGCTATTTTTAACAAAAACTCTAGGATATTTGTCAAACAATTTAGTCTCGTAATGTAGTTTACTAACCACTTAAAAGATTTTTCCTGAAGTTAACTGAAAGTGGGCCTTAATTATGCTTAAGTACTCTTTGCTTAATGTCAAAAATGTGTTCATTTGGCACTACAGACTTAACTGTAGATATATCCGAGAGATATTGATTTTTTTAGTATAAGACCATTTTTGTAAGGTTTGATTTTACAAGAATATGTTTGAATATTATTTTTTATTAATCAAAAACTAAACATTGGGAACAAAATTATCATTCCTCTTTATATACTTTTATATGTGATTTTTTTCTATTTAGTTATGTTTAACGTTTATAATCTATGAATTATGTGACTCGGCCTAAGACCCAGGTTTAAAGGTTAAGAAAATTGTGATAATTTCATGATGAGAATGCCATTATTTTTTACAATTTGACTTGTTTTTTGTGAGTTGACCTTTTGTGCGATTATCACCAGGGTTATTGTAGTGCACATGTTTTTATAAGCACTACCTTATCTTGACTTTAATAAGTATGTTTTATGTAAGTCTGAATTCCTTAGTGTTAATGTTTGTGTTATTTTATTAAGTTTGTATGATTTAATTATAGGCAGCTTTCTTATAAACACAGCTTTGTAGACAGGACTCTCTAATTTAAGATTACTCTGTAATAGTGGCAAAGTCAAACTGTAAAATTTTATATGGATAGTGTATGAATTTTGTGAGCGGCACGAAAACTCCATATTGTACAAAAATGTTACCTGATCCATTTATTTACATTAGAAGTAGATTCGAGAAATTTGAAGTTTATTTAGGTGCTACTTTATAAAAATTGGCACAGAGTAACATTTGAAAGCAGGCAGATCTGTTCAGACAAAATTTCACATTATTCTATAATTTTCAAGTAGATGATGACATATGAGTCAACAAAATTTAATAATCATTTGTAAAACTACATTCCATGCTGAATTGGAAAGAGATTATACACTTATATTTCTTGCAAAAAATTCACAATGGTAGGAGAAAGTATAAATCATCAGGGCGAAAGTGGATAGACCGCTATTTTATGTTTAACATGATGATTGAAAAGTATTAATAGCATACTAGCTGAGATAGTTTAGTTTCGCTAAGTCGATGTTAATATTTATTGTGTATTTTTATATCATGCTTGTGTAGCACAAATTTTCAATAAATATTCAACCATATATGGTTTATTTTTTACAATAGGGCTTGGAATAAAACTAGTGACTATTGTGGTTTCATTTACTTATAAAAGTAACAAAAAAGTACATAAACAGTGTAAATAATTTACTATTACTTACTTATTAGTAATATTACTTTCCCTAAAATAATAAAATAGATCTAGAATATTGGATGGTGTCAGTTGGAATGTTAACTTACAATAATTAGTCTTTTCAGAGCTGAATATTAATATTATTAACTCAACTAGTTTTTACTCAAGCGAGCAATATCAATTTTATATTCACGCAACACATTATATTACAACAAAAGAGAGTAACAGAAACATTGAAGATATTTTTAAATTGATTGCACTATTACAGCCATCTGTGGTACAAGTGTAAATACAAGTTCTGTACTCAAGCTTGTCCCCGGGTTGTTGTACATATTTGCACTGGTTGCCTAAGTCCAATGAGGAACAAAATCTTTTAGTTCCTATGCCACCTGAAATATTGAAACAACTAAGTATTTTTCAAGTTTCATGTAAAAAGAAAGTATGCAGTTCAACTCACCTGAAGATAGTAAATTATAAGCAGTTATATCATTTTATTAATTCCAAACATCCAAAAGCATTATTTGTTGTTAATTTACTTTTAATGACAAAGCCCTTTTTATCATGCATGGTTAAAAATAGTAAGGAATAGCGTGCATAATCAACATTATTGAGTACACAGTGCACTTAAATCATTTTGTGCATTGTATAGATACTGTTAGTATAAACCTATTTCTTTGATGCAAAACTGGGCATTGTAAACATGGTCGCAGGGAATAGCTTTTAATATTCCCCCATCCAAGTTCATCAGACCATCACCACATTCCATATTGGATGTTGAGTTACACTGGTAGCATTCTATTGAAAAGCCTGTTAGGGGTTACTCATTAGTATTGTTAGTTTGGTTAGTACACACCATTACCATGGTTGTACCTTCAAATCTGCCTACATGTTTGATACAATATTTGGCGTCATGAATTAAAGAACAGTCTGTTGGCACTAAAGACGATTCTGTGTCTAAATATTCATTGCATTCAAACGGATCGTTTGAATCAGTTCCGGAACATTGGTAACAGTTTATAGAACTAACTAAAAAGTATTAAACAAAATTCATTTATCAACTTAATTAAATAAAAATATAATATGTATGAAAAACAATCTAACTGATGTGATTAAAAAATAATACGGATTGGGCGTAGGTATTGTGGCCTACCTGATTTGATTGCGGTAATACCAAATATAAGGCACAAAAGTTTGAAATCCATAATCCGGTTGTAGAAATGTAAATAAATAGTAATATATAATTACTAAATGCTAAGTCTACTATAATAAGCAATGTATGCTCGTAACATATAAATCACAATCAGAATTCTGAGTTCAGAAAGTACACAACAGATTTTTTAACAGATATTGTAAATTCTCTTAAGCGATGGCGGTTAATTGTCATAAATTTTCTGTTTGACTTTGATAATCTGTGGTAAGAGCATCGGGATTTTAACATCAAGAAACGGACATTTCGTTTTTAAATAATATTAAATTTTTACTGTGATTTTTATTTGCTGGATTGTGTTCTTGAGAATTTTTTAAATATAGTTGGTTATTCTTCTTATTCACAGATATATGCATGTATTATGTTCTTTTTTTACTTCCTTAACATCCGGAAACTATATTGAGGCAAGCAGATTCTAAAAAAAGTTTTTAAACAATAACGAATTGCTATCCCCCGTCCTGGCTTCCTTTTTTTTTTACTTGGAGGAATCGACTCTTTACCGACGCCCCCGCCTGGCCACATCGAGTGGCGGGGGGAGTGTGGCTTCCCTTCTCGAAGTACTGGCAAGGCGCGATCTCTAATTAAAACTGTGAAGAAAGAGAGTCCTTCAACAGAAGAACCGCTCAAAAAGTAACTTTCTAACCAAAACGTGATTTTTATCCATCCGCTACGATGGATTTTTCGAGCATCGGTGGCGTGTTTTCTATAGTAGGTTTCAACAAGGAAAGAAAAGTTATAAAAACTGTAAGTGTTTACCATATCATAACTAAATAATTTTCTACCTTAATGAGATACTACGAGAGTGTTTAAAATTGAACATAGCCGACTAGGGCTTCTAAGAATTATTTTCGGCGCTCGCGTATTTTTGCAAGTTTACCTTAGTAAAATTTCAAACTACCGTCAGAATCCATTATGCGTAGAGTTAACCGTTATGTAACTTTAATAAAGCATGTATTATCTCTTTGAAAAATTAATATTTTTCCCCACATGTTATTGCACATGAAGGCACTATATAATTTTAATAAATCGGATGAAAATTGAAAAATTTTTCCCCCCCCCCGGGGGGGTTCCGCCCCCCCCCCCCCGGCCGGGCGGGGGCCCCCCCCGCGCCGGCCGCCCCCCCCCCCCCCCCCCCCCCCCCTTTTTTCCGTGCTGTTGCTCTCCACCAATTGAGCTACCGAGTCTACACCTACACCTCATCGTCGAATTTTTTTTTTTTTTTTTTTTTTTCAAAAAAACCGAAAAATTAAAAAACCGATTAAGTATGCAGTGAAAATTTTTTATTTTGATTTTAATGATTATCGACAACTTTTGATTGTATGGATTCGAGAGCTATTTTTTTTTAATTCTTAAGACAACTTCATCGATTTATGTGTAGTCACGTTTGCATTTTATAAAGGGGGGATATAGTTTAGTGGCTTTGATCCTTAATATCCTAACTTTTACTACTATAATGTTGCAATTGTTTGTTGTACGGGAACGTTAATTTCTTCACAGCTATTGTTTAAGGGAACACATAGCATTTTCTAATAATTTTTCCAGATGTTCTTATCCTTAAAAATTCGGGAGGCCAGGAAATACATCTATTTAAGGTACACTACTAGAAATACATAATACGAATTTAATAGGTAGATGTAAAAAGTCCTATTCTGTGGTCTAGTCTCAAAAAGGCCTTTTTTGGCCCAGAATAATCAAAGTCTGTCTGGTACGAGGCTTAAGAAATTTATACCTTTAACAAAATAGTGTTAAGATTACCTATTAAAAACTGCATAGAAATAATGTTGATTGTCAAGTTATTTGAAAACTAAAGTGATTTATTTTATTTTAACAATACCATATACATATTGGTATTGTTAATATGTCTTAACAATACCAATACTGTGAAGGATACAATTTAAGCAGAGCTGGTATAAATGATGCCCGGGTTCTGTTCGTTCAGCCGTAGCATATTTAAATTGTCTAACTTACAAATAACAATGAAATTAATTTAATAAATCCAGGTAAGGGCTACCAAATGAAGCTACAAAGCAGGCGTGGCGCGCAGGCAGTTAGTGATAGCTCCTGTAGAGGGCGCACCAAGGAGAAAGCGGCTTCATTGGTTGAAAAACTTGTTCTTAACTCAATATGATTCCGGATGTTGTATAAAGATAATAAGTAAGTTTAATGTAAGTTCACACCTTCTTTTAATTAGTAGTGCTATAATCGATTTGATCCTAAATTTATTTAATTATTCGGATTATTATCATTTATATTTAACATACCCTCTCCTATTGTTGTTGTTTTGGCCAATTGACACTCACGGTATAAATATTCTTAAGTTGGTAGTTTAATAAAACAACACGCATAGTAAAATAATTATTTATCTTTTACATTTTTATAAAAATATGTTACTTTTAAGGCACTTAGTAGTAAAAAAAGAATGAACTTTCATATAGAAGTACACCAGAAAACTAACGAATGTTTCCATTGAAACACAGATTTACAACGTTCTTAAATTAAGAATCATAATAATAATTACATCACAATTAGGCATGAGCATCTTCGTAACGTCATGTTAACTAAAATTTGTACAATATACCTAAATTAAATGCTTTTACTTTATTACCTTATTTATCAGGCATTAACGCAGAACGCTGGAATGTAATAAATATGAAAAGTTGACAGTTGGAAAGTAACGTCTGTTAATATGCACGAGATGCATAAATATTGGCACATCGCAAATCTAAGTCAGTATAAAGATTTATTAAATAGAATAATATAATGATGGTCCCTAAAGGCGATGGCACATTTATCAGCAATGTGAAACGTCGCACTGAACATATGTTCGGCGCGTACGTCGCTAACAAATATGCGATCAGCTTAAATGTTATCTAAATAAAGTTTCGATGTGGAAAATCACAATAGCATATTCTTTTGCAATAAACATCTATAAAATATATACTGAGTAAAGTATTTTCTTTAGGAATCAATGTTAATCCTATATTTACATTCACTGAGACATTTTATAAGTACCCTAGTTCAATTGTTGTTTAATTGAGGTCTGAGTGGGAGGGAACCTTCCACCCAGAAGTTGGGCCGTTGCATCATTGTTTGCCATAAGCTGACTTCTTTGCCGACGCTGTCCATCCAGTTTACATTCGCACCCATGTAAGTACCTGAAAGAAAATATTTTTATTTAAATAAAACACTTTTATTGTAAGCTTTGCAAGAATCCTTAAATATATATTTAAGGATGTTTGCAAATGTTTATTTATTTATTATTTATTACACACCACTCACACAATTATAATGAAAAAAAAATCTATTAACGATACATCGCGCGGCGGCCTTATCGCTATTAAGCGGTCTCTTCCAGGCAACCCATAGGAAAATAATGTAAAACAAATTATATATAGGGGAATGTGTAGGAGGTGCAAAACATTCAATGTGTATATTTTACGTATTACTTATAAACATTAAGTTAAAATAACATGATTACTAAATTAGCTTGTATAATTTTTCAAAAGCATTAGAAATAATACTTGGTTTAAAAAAATAGCTAAAAGTATTTTAAGGTAACAGATGTTTTAAATCAATATCGTTTTGATCTGGAAAACCTGTTAAGCAAATATTATCTGTACCAGGATTTCCAGCTCTTTCATATCATTCAATTAAACATGCAAGTTATTTTAAATGTGGCATCTTGTATGTATAAAGTCTGTAATTTAAAAAAATCCTTTTAAGTATTGTCTGTAGTTTACACAAAAAAACAAAACGCTTTCAGACGGTTTAAAACATTAATTATTTTATTTCACTAGGTCGTCCACCGTTACGTGATTTATTTTTAACACCATATTTCATACAGTAACGTTTGTTCGTCATCGTATATTAAAAAATAATAATTGACATTCACGCTAACCTGTGCCAAGTGATAGTCGAACGGCCCCCATAAAGTCGTTGGACGCCAGCCGGTCCCGGTCCCAAAGACTGAGCTCCAGGGCCCGTGTCGCCAACTCTTGCATCGTGAGTCCACGGTAGCTGAACGTGTGTTCCCAACGCGGGTTTAGTGTTCGTCGAGCGACTCCTGTTTTCTGTTTCGCGAGACGACCACGCTCGGGAAGGAGATAGCTATATTTATTAGGTAAAATATAGTACATATTATAATAATTGGTTAACCTCTAATACTATTGTTACATGGATGTTTTGTGAAAATGTAACGAATCCTCAAACAATTCATCTGACACTACATGGTATTGCTATGCTAAGAAATGTCTGTAGTTTACGTGAGTAGTACACATTTCAATAAAACACTTAACGGTTTAAAACACGAAATTTATACATTAACATAATTACACTTTTTTTTAACGTGGACGGCTTGATGTTTCTGGTTCTTTGTGGCAGCTGTACTGCTAACTAATACATACTCCATTTCAACTGTTAAAGTGTTTTATTAAAATTATATTATCATGCTGTTTGTAGGTAGATATTACAAATTCTACTGTGATTTTAATATAAGTTCTAATTACATACAGAGTTTGACAAACATCAAATTATCCTGTTTCTAAAGCGGCTAAAACAAATACAAGTAAATTATAGTTCAATAAGAAGTAGAACATAAACTTTGATATATTTTAATACATAAGATAGCGCTTTTAGACGAAATAAATACGTTAACACTTGGCGTGGTTTTTTTATGATCGATAGAGTAAGACAGACGATGGAGATCACTTGACTGTAGCTATATAAGATCTCGAAAAGATGCGCAGTCCACTTATTTAGCCTTGATATTCGAAAATCCAGACTAAACCCGAAACTCTCAATCGGCGTGACGGTTTTTTCATTTGTGGCGGCGGCTTCACCCGGACGAAATTTCGACATTCCTACCACCCATTTTATATCCAGATTTCTAGTCCAACTAGTGTTTCAAAAAATATATAAATGAAAATATTAGATACATGGGGATCGAATTTACGACTCGATGATTAATAGATTTGCCCGTCAGAACTATTAAGGCGATAATGGTTTTATAAGCCTAATACTTTGTATACTTTGAAATTAAAAGTAAATCGGTTAAAAAATTAAGTAGTTTCCTCTGGGATATTTTATTGTGAAAACTTTCAGTCTATGGTTACTCAGAGTTATAAATTCAAAACTTACCTTTTACAGAAAACATCAGTCAAACCGCTGGGTTTGGTCGCAACGAGATTCTTCGCTTCCTTCACTAGCACATGCAGTGTTCCTTTGCCGCGGGCTGTGTTGGGCTCTTGCAACTCAAACTTTAGCCCTATTATAAGGTCCCCACGGGTTCCTTGTTGTTCATCAAATTGCTCTGTCTGGAATTGAATAAATTTGGTATTAGATAGTTCATTATTTAATTAGTAGATATTAAGACAAATACGAGAAGATTTTCTGTTATTTAAATCGTAATTTGTATTTCTGTCGTCGTAGTTGAAACTAGCTGTTCCCGCGACTTTATCCGCGTCGAATAGTTATTATGGGCATCTAATGTTCTTGTTAACGACCTCCTCAGCTCTATAAACTATAGCCACGACATCGTCTGCGACACATATATTGTCGCGGACTTTTGTTTAGATCAGTTATAGGATGTTTGTTGTAACTTACTTTTATACATAAATTGTCTGTGAAACGATTTTTACCTTTATGTTATAGACTTTATTCTTAAATAAATAAAATAAAAGTTAAACAGGAATTTTTAGTCTTATTAGATGCAGCGTGATGTAAAGATTCCTCGATCATTTTTCAATTCGAACCTGTAATTCCTAAGGTCAGCGCGTACAAACAAACAAACTCTTCTGTTTTATAATATTATTATAGAAAATTATCGCATATCTTTTGTCTTATGATATCATAAGACAAAAGATACGAAATTTTCTTAAATACAATTTAAATGCCTAACGATGAAGTTTCACGAGTATTACAAACTTTACTTAGAACTTTGATTCTAAGTTATTGAGGCAATCAGGCCTTGCTACTGTGATGCTTGGAAACTTACCCTCTCGTGGAGCTTGTACCACATGGGCGCGGGGTCGTCGAACACGACATCGGCCAGCGGCAGCGTCACCTCCCCCAGAAAGTCGTTCCTTCCAAACATATCCGCGTGCCACACGCTCAGCCACAGTGTCCTCGAAGACAGCGAAGCGAGCGGCTGCACGAACGACAGCGTCTCCTCAAACACGGGGTTCAGGGTGTTCTTCTTCACCTTCGTCTTCCTCTTGCCAGCTTTCGACTTGTCCGGTAACAAGTACACCTGGAAATGAGACAACGTAGCTATTTAATTATATGAATATGAGTATAAGGGAGCAGTATTTTATTTTAATTAGTCAATGTTTGATACGTTATCAATTTGTACGACGAAATTCATAAAATGTTAACAGTGTGATGAATTAAATTTATAGGATTTATTTTGTATTACAAACGACAAATAGTAAACGGACATGGTGAATTTGTGAAAAGGTCAGGTACTGATCACGGTGTCCAGATTTTCCCCTGTATTGGGAAATTTAACGATTGATTATTCATCTAGTTGTCTAGCCAATACCTATAAAATCTACTTTGCCGTCTTCTTTTGTGACTTCCATGTGCTGTTTTTAAAGATTATATTCCTGGCAATATAATTTAAGTCTCTTTATTAAACTATTAATTTTTACGAATAAACAAATGAAAATAAACGCACCTTGACATAAGGATCAGACCGATTTCTTTTGACGTCTATGGGGGCCAGATCTCTGCATCTCTTGACTCCCACCTCCAAAGCCCCCAATCTATAATTGTACAGGAGCGAGAACTGGACCTCTCCTTTGACGGTCACCGTACCACGTAACCCTTCGCCTGCGCCGGAATATACGGATGCCATTGATTCGGAGCGATTCTGAAAGTTAAGGAAACGGCATAAGTTAGTGGAAGCCTTAAAAGTAAAAAAGGGGTAAGACTTTGTGCTGAGTTGAATACTGGGAGAAGCATAATGAATTAGTTTCATCTTGGCATGGCAGAGAAAATCTCTACATACATATTTATATAAACTTTTGACACTATATTTCTTACCATTATTAGATTTCTCTATTTATACCACAACAAATGCACTTAACGACGTCACCATTTTCTTTAGGAAAATTCGAAAACGAGAATAACGATTAGCTAAAAGTATTTCATTATACAAGCATTTATTGCCGCGGACGAACGATTCCACCGATATAATGAATAATTATGTCTATGTATTGACTCATTGTGTATCGAATATCAGGTTATAACAACCGCAGTCATTTTTTGTTTATCACCTGACCGGCATATAATGTTGCAAATTAGTACCTACAATACTCGTTGACATTTTACATTGTAGCTATTTGGTAATAAATTTAAAACTGATATAAAATTATAATAAACCAGGACATTGGCATGATCAAAGTAGGTTTTATCGTGGTAATTCATTTGGGTAAGCTCAAGGCTTAACACTAGTTTTATAATAGAGGAGAACAGACAAACATGGGGATCACTTACCTATTTTGGCTTTGGATATTCGGAAATCCACAGACTGAAAGCGAAACACGATTAAACTTCACGGCTTTTCATCTGTGGATGGTGGTGATCCATACGGATTTGCGGTACCCATGAGGGTACTAAACCCATTAAAAATAACGGATTTGCGTTCAGAAAAATTATTTATTTATCAGTTTCAATAAGTTACTAATCTACTACTCACATATGGTAGGTACTTGTGCAATTTGGGGGTGGGGTCTTCATCTTTATATTTGCCTCTGATTCACTTGTAATATTGCGTTAAATCTTTTTGTCACATTTGTTTTAAACATGGATACAGTGACCGAAATTCAATTACTTATTTATATATGTATATGTTTGTTTATACACGCATTTAAAAAAAATCTGGTAGGCTAACACAAGACAGCGAGATTATTGAATCAAGATGTAAATTTGATGTTAACGTATATTGCTGATTAGGTGCCGATTAAAATACCAAAACAAATAAAAAATGTGATTACATATAAGATTTGTAATATCGGTTTTTAAGTGGATTGTGACCGTGAATAAATTAAATCTAATATTGCGCAACTCTCATGTACCAAGTTGTAATACGTATATTTTATGGTTCCTATTTACAAACAACATTTACATACTAAACAAGACGATCTACGCGTAAAACATTGATACTACATAAATATACTTTGTAATAAAAATTTTCAAAATTTAATAGGACGTTGATAAAAAGGGTGCGCTGCTAATATACTAACGTCGTGATATTAAATACAATTTAGTGGCTTTTTGCAATATTCTTGAAAAACCAGTTATTGCGTTAGACCTCAGATTTAATCAATTCCCACGAGAAATAGCATTCGTGTGCACTCCTCAACAAATCAAAGAATTACCTAGTTGTTCTTTGTGACATGTAGTTAAAATTTTACATACTCAACATTACTCTAGATAAGTAAGCTAAATCTCATTACTGAAGCAGTATAAACGATTAATTATTTTTTAATCCGTTCGAGGTTTAATACGAAGCTAATTAATTAGTCACAGAGTAATTGAATAAAAAACTTTTAACGAAAAAATATAACATTTGATAAATTTAATTGACGCGAAATATTTTTTAATTAACGGCGTTGTTACTACGGTGAGATTAAATATTTATAGAAGTATTTAATGGACTCGCTGGTGTTATGGTAGCAATGGCGTTGAATCAACGGGTCGCGGCTTCGATTCAGGTCTATCTTCAGGTCTTCATTCAAACAAAAGTCAACTTATAATGTTTCTGAATCATGTTGGATTTCGTCTGGAAATAAGAATGGGTGGAAGGAATATCGAAATTCCGTCCGGGTCACGAACAGTCGTCCACACGTAAAAAGCGCGTCTTATTTAGATGCTATAGGCTTAGATATTTTAACTACCATCAAGTAAACCACGTGCTTGTCTATCCTCCTCCATCAAAAACAAAAGTAACTGAGTTATACAGTAGCCATCTTGGCTAAGTTGAACTAAATTCACGAATTCGCCATAGACGTTTCCGATACGCATCAAGCCAGTGTTTTGCAAACCCAGTTATTCGCAGGCCATGTCGTAACAAGGCATTGCTCCTAATACAACACAATAGCTCCGTGAGGCCCCAAAAACAATACCGTACAGTTATACAAATTGCAACGTACCTTACAATAAAGCTACCAGTAGTGAAGTAAAATAACTATGAAATTAGTGTATTCAAAAATATGAAATCCCATTTCTCCGGGGCATGAGGCACAATTGTGCCCTTTTAACGGTCGATTTAATTTACAGGCAAGTAGTTAATCAAACTACTTGCCTGTTGACAACTGAAGTTTCCCGGGGATTCAAACTCAGGATCTCCCCCGTTTAACGCAATGCTAAGTAATATATTAATATATCACATTTTAAGATTATAAATATCTTAAATAAAAATTTCGTTCGTACGCGGATAGTAAACAAAAAAACACTTTAACCGTTTAAAACGCGATATATTATATCGCGATATAGTTGAACTACTAGAAAATGATTTTAACTACGGCTTTCGAATGCTTTGTAGCAGTCGTGGTCATGGGTAGAGACTAAAATAATTTTCAGTGTGACTAATATATATCGCGTTTTAAACCGTTAAAGTGCTTTATTTCAATATTTTATTCTTACCTGTAATCCACTCCTATTGAGAGAAAACCTGTCCCGCTCACCATCATGGGGTAGGGGTGAACTCGATCTTCTTGGCAGAGTTGCATGACCCGGCGAAACCGTGTCTGACATATAGACTTCATCTGAAAGAATAGAATAGGAAATAAGTTGAAGCCCAAGTGACGTCAGTGCCAAAATATACTGGCAATTATTATTTAATTATCTACTCATAGTACAAAAAAATGTAAGGGCAACACTTCAAAGGTGGCGTGCATAAGAACAATGCATTGTTAAAAAGGGAACAAATAAGAATATATTTAAATACATTATTCTAGTTTTATCTACGTATTAGTTACTTTTTTCTAATCTTTGTGTATAATAATAATGTACAATGTGAAGATATGCATGGCAAACAAAACGACACCAGAAGAACCAAGAACATCATTGAAAAAGTGCCATAATTCTGTGGTAGTGCATCATGCGTGCACTCAAAAAACGAACTGGATTTCTTGGTACCCTCGCTTCGCAACTCAAGCCATTCGTCGCGTTTTATGTGCCGACATTTTCTGCCCCTTGTGAGGGAGTTGTCGCACCATTCGAGCGACTTCAAAAACGAATCTCCATACGCCAGGATATCGCGTATGAACGAGACTTTCTCACCAGTTCTAAGTGTACTGCAACTGCTATGGTTTCCAGAATCATTGGGATTTCGTTTCCCTTCGTACGGTCCAAGGCTTATCGCACTCGCTTCTTGTTCAGATGATAGCAATAATTTGGTAGTTGATTTTAAGGAAATGGATTCTGTATCGTCAACTTTAGAGATGGTTATGGTCGGTTGGGGCTTATTATTTTTGCTGAGAGTATAACTCCTTTTTACGTGGCCAACAAGAGATGAATTAGGGTCGTCTAACGGAGATTCATAATTGTTATTACGGGGTTTACAACACGGAAAGCAGCACTCGAAACACTCGCGCAAACACGATTTATTACTTGTCCCTATATTGGAACTAACATGATAAATATTCACTGGTTCATAACTGCCTATTGAATCGTTTTGATTCGAAGTTCTTTGTATAGAAGAGTACCGCGATTCTGGAGAGCTTAAAGCCATTGTTTTACACAGAACACAACACTACGCTTAAATTGTTAAAACTGTGAATTTGTTATTTTTGTCCACGATTTATCGTATATCCTGTGTGTTGTGTTGTTTCCTGTTACGTACTGCTACACAAAGCTAGTAATGTTGGTCATGACTAATGTTCGAAATACCTACAGACTGCGAGATCAGAAATTAGATTAATCAACACGATGGGAACGTTAATACGGCGGGTCATGTACGATTTCATTTTCATAGCAGGAATTGTCATGTAAATGACCTACAAAAAACACGTCAATATTTAGGACATTAGCAATAATTGAAAATAATTATGTTGTAGAGTATAAAAATAAGAAAATCAAAAGTACCTTCTGTACTGAAAGAGCGTGACGGTAAAGTCATTGTACTCCATCTTATAGACTTCGGTGGCGATTTCTTATGCGCAAGATTAATATCTGCCGCAACAGACGATGAAGGCATTTTTAAGATTTTCTTCTCCACTTTATTAAGTGCAGGCAATGATGATTTAAACGGTTCACGTATGCTCAAACTCTTTAAATCTTCTGTGAGTTTTTCTACATGTGTATCTTCATTTTCTGTTACATCTTGCACTGTGGCTAAGGATCCTGCATATCCCGACTCCGAACCATTTGAACTAGCGTTATCTGCTTTTTCTTTCAAGACAGTAGTATCTTCGGAATCATTATTTGAACTAATGTCAATATTGGAAGCTGATGATTCTTTTTCATCATCATTATCAAACGATAGAGAAGACTCTTTTGGTGTCGGTATCGTATCATTATTTCTACTTTCACTATTCGATACAGTGGATAGTTTCCTCTGATTCTTTGGACTCTTTACTAGTATATGTTTAACTGCAACTGACGATTCCTTTGGTCTTATAGACAATGGCGATGTAGCAACGTTAGTAATGCTGGTTTCAACCTTTTTTTTTATTTCTACTTTAGAATTAATATTGGCCGATGCACTAGAAGAATCTAAGGACTGTGCCCTGTATTTGACAATGTCTTCTGCAGACGATGAACTGGGTGTCCTATCTATCTGGGCTATTATTTTTTCTCTTCACTGGTTTTACTGGCTCCAATTTTTTTTCTACAAGGGTTTGATTTAGTTTACTTCTGGCAAGAGCAAGACCTACCTTACTTGCAACAGATGGGGATTCTACAGCTTTTTGTTTTTGTAAAGCTAGTTTTCTTTTCGCTAGTTCTTGAGATTCTGTGCTCTTTGTTGCTTGTACCCGTACATTTTTTTCTGGGCCTTTATTTTTTGCATCTAGTGATAGAGACTTTTTTGGTCTGTCATTTTCGAAGTTTTTTTCAAGAGCTTGTTTGTATTTTATTGGGTCAGCCCTTTTTCCAACCTTCTCATCAATTTTCTTAGTTACAACATAATGATCACTCACTTTTTGTTTTAACGATACTGCTTTTGGTTTGGTAATTTCAGCAGCTAAAAAGGAATATAATTTCAATTTTTCCCTTTGCTCTTCCCTTATTTTCGGCAAGGGAACTGGCTCGACATCGTCTTCGCGATCAGCATCTTCAGAAGAGAAGCAATTCCAGCAACTTATATCGCCATCGTTTCTATTATTTTCACTGTCACTTCCTTCTACACCCATTTTAAACTTCTCAACACTCACGTAAACAAAGTGATTTAACTTCGATAGTAATTAGCTGCAGCCCCGGTGGCTGGCTTCAGACTAAAAGTTTTTCAACTGGTTTATACTTTAAATATAAGGAAGGCTGCAAGCAAGTATTTTAATGAATTTTAAACGACACATAATATTGCCGATCAAATATTCTAGATAAAAAGGTTACGCAATATTAAGAACGACCATCTAGAATGCGCCTTTTACAATATGTTAACGCGTTATAAACGTCCTTAGCTTATACATTTGAAAATAAAATATGTGTTGAAAACCAGTTCTTATTAATTATATTGCACACGAACAATCTGCTTACTTGTGAAGGATAAATTATACAGATTAATTATTGACACAATATACAATTGCATTAGGGCCGATATTAGCATAAAATACGAGTTTAGCTGGAAAATATGGTAGAAGACATGACACGATAAATGTTCGTATTGTATATGTTTTGAACATATTTCCAATACACGCAATTTCCAATGAAGAAAAAGAGATCTATAGTAATATATTAAAGCCGAAGAGTTTTTTTGTTTGTTTTTATGTTTAACCTATTTATCTATATGTCTATCTTTTAAGATTAACTTGCAAGAACGATGGGACGCGACCGACGTCAGCTTAAATTCATAAAGATAAGGAAGAGGTTTGCAAAAACTAATTTGTGTGTCCAAAATAACTATACTACGCGGACGAAGTCGCTGACACAGCTAGTTGAGAAATAATATTAATGTTATGGTGGGTCTAGTGACCGTGTCCTTTAACATGTCTTACTATAAAAATATTCGTTAAATAGTGAACCGCCGTCATGACGCACATGGGAGCAGAAGTCTAATTACTTGTAGGTCGTGAGATCAAAATACTCAGAAGCTAAATCCGTGCGTTTAGCACACATGTCTATTTTAGACCAATAATAGACAATAGACAACGTCTGTTTTAGGTGTTCTCAGTCTTATTCGTGTCACGGTCACATAATTACAACACAAAATCCACACAGTTGTGTAATCGTATTGAACTGTAGTGTTACCTTACAGCGTGGTTTAGTTTCAATGTGTGGATATTTGCTATTGCCTTTATCTCTACTGTTACGATAAATACGGATTACTTATGATAAAAGTTTATTATTTTAAATATGCTTATTTTTATTTGAATATTAGTAGGAATAAGCATTTTTCGTAATACATAATAATATAAAGATGTTTTTTAGATTGAATATTATAACTACCTCCTTTTCAGCTAACGATATCCACCTCCCTCCCCGCACCCCCTTTTATTTTGTAACTGATGTTGTGAATGCCTAATGCACGCCCACGTCGGGCAATAGTGAAGTGGGGAGAGTGGTAAATCGGCTATACGTAGCCGACCAGAACCACTAAACACGAACACAGAACCAGCTCTCTACGGTGCTTAGAGGGAGCCCTGGGACTCCCCGCACCCCCTAGAAGTTACTATTGTTGTACATCTATTTATTGCAAATAAAAGGTGTTTCGTTAAATAAAATGAATATAAAAAAAAACCCAAAACAAACATTGATGACGTAAAAATTAAGAGATCAAATTGCCTGTAAAGTTAATATTATAATTCTTGTCTAGGAAAACTTCATCGGAAATATTAACGTTATATAACATATTATATAAAAACCTTAATTAAAATATAATTAGATAATTATTTACCCTTGGCCTCTTGTGTAAGTTTTTATGAGTGTCCGAATAATTTTTGTATCTTAATTATTTTATTAGCATATATTATGGCTACGTGTGAATTGAGTTCAAAGTATTGGAAATTGCTGTCCATTTTGTTACAAGGCTGCAGGTTTACGCTTGTCAAAGTAAAGTAGTACACTTGATTCTTTACATTTTATTAAGTCTTACTAAAACATATAGCTTATAAGCGAATGCTTATAAGCTTATAAGTTTTTGCCCAATGTCCATAGTTTGCGCGAGTAGTATTCATTTAAATGAAACACTAACGTTTTAAAATGTGTTGTATATTAGTTAAACTAATTCGAAAATTATTTCATCTATGGTCTGACGTTTCGGATGCTTTGCAACAGCCGTGGTCACGGGGAGACGAATAAAATAAATAAAAAGTTTAACTAATATATATCGCGTTTTAAAGCGTTAAAGTTTTTTTTTGAATTACTGCACATTTTAATTAAATTTTATTCTTTGTTTGAATCAATCATTATAAAATTCTATTTAAATACCTAATATTTTAGGACGCTACACTACACTTTGTAGATAATTCTAAAGCATTAAAAATGTATAAGTGAGTATATTTATATCATTTACCGATAATCGAGAGAAAGAGAAAAATAAAAAAAACTGCATAATTTGTCTTAAGTCTCTATTAGAAATGACGAAACTTGAATTGAGAGCGTACGCAACAGACAAATACGTCAAATATAACGTAAATCTAGCCATAGATAAAGGAAATTTTGACATAGTCTGCATTCTACGCATTGTTAGTACGAAGTTCGCAGTGACAAGTGGCGACATCAATCTTCATTGTTTATCAATAGATTACGCAGATATAACTAGTCATTGTTTTGCAAGTCTCACAGTTTCAACTCTCACTAATGTGATATCCAATCAATCATTAAGGCCGTGGCCCACTAATAGAACCACCTTTGGCTGCAGTGACTTGTTCAATAACTGAGAACATGGAAGATTTAATTACGTAAACCATTTCATATAACAACTTGGGGCACGGATGTTGTCGTATGAACTTGACCGGTCTACCCACAAATTTGGTGTAAATTTGATGCTTACATGAATCAATGTCGTTCAGTGCGTTTGACATAAACCTTATGGTAATTTTACTAACGCGCATAGGCCATTTCGTTTAGAAGGTAGATATTGTTACTCTTTCGTTGATTTAATGTATTTTTTTCATTTTTGTTGTGAGACACTTTCAACTTTAACTATATATATTATTAGTTAAATAAAAAAAAATAAAAAAATAGTTAAATGTCCTAAAATGTCTGTCTTAACAGAGACACCTGTGTCTCCACGGGACCACGGCTGCTGCATCCGAAACGTCAGGCCTATATAAAACAATTTTCAAATAAGTTTAACTGATATTATACGTTTTAGTTTTTTATTTCAATGTGTACTACTCACGTAAACTACAGGCAGTATGCCTTAAAGTTTTTACGTATAATATTGACAAAAACACCTGTTCAGTGTGCCGCGGTCAACCGTTGCATTGTTGTAAATTGTAAAGCAGCCATGAGTCAATACTATACACCCATATGTTTGTAAACTTAACGACATATTAATTGTTGAACCGTTCTGTCTTGTGCGATGTTAAAATGAGATTTTAATAGCGCCACTGGGTTATGCAATATTTTGTCATTGTGTTTAAATTTTTTACGAGTGAAATTATTTCTAAGTATTATATGCAAGGGAGATGTTTGTTTGAACGCGCTAATCTCAGGAACTACTATGATTCCTCATAAAATGATCTAAAAATGTTTCGGACAGTATATGTCTAACTTTTAAGATTAATTTGCAAACACTACGGGACGCGGTTGAAGTCGTTAGTAACAGCTATAAATTATAAAATTGAGGAGATTTGTAAAAACAAATATGCCCTTTGTGAAACATAATGTATAATGATTTGTAAATAATTTTGTTGGACAGGGCACGGAGACCTCACCTAACCGTTTTGACAGTAAATTAAATCCATCAGTGAAAATAGTCCTCCACAAAGTAAGGAAAACAAAATCGCACTTAGTATTCGCAGTTACAAACTTTTTCTACTTAACAACATTTATGCGTTCTGTATATGGCTAGAAGCCAGTATTGGTCAACTCGGATTGGGAAATCTGCCCACGTGAACGAGTGGGTTATGGATACAAGTATGGGATAAGTCGGTCAATATCTTTATACTTTGTAACATACAGTAGAATAACTTCTTGGTATAACAGAACTGTACAGTACTTTTAACTGTTCAAAACGCGAACTATTTAACTAATTTACTCTCAACTACGTTTCACAAGCTTTACAGTGATCGTAGTCACGTATGTACAAATGTAGTTTGAAGAATAAGTAAGTTATAAATTTATAACAAATAATTGCCGATTTTAAAACCGTTACAAAGAGTCTAATATATTTTGGGAGAAGGCAATGTCTCACATACTTTTTTAATTACTTAACTGCTGTAGTAGGTGAAGGGTCTGTTTGTGGCTCCGACAGAAACAATTGAATGCGCACGATTCGACCACAACCAAATGCTAGTTAAACCATAGGAGCGACAGAGGCGATCTCATATTATAAATATAATAAAAGAAATATGCATTGTAGAAGTCATTGTACATACTATTAATAGTATTCTACTTATTAGCAGCACTTAATTATAATAATACTAGCTGAGCCGGCAAACGTTGTTTTGCCATATAAATAATTTTACTAAAATGTCTATTAAAAAATAAGGGTTGATCGTAGAAGGGTTAAAATTGAGGATTGTATGTATTTTTGTATGTTGTATCATAAAAAAGAAATTAAGTGTTGTCTAAAAAATAAATTAAAATTTTTACGGGTGAACAACCCTTATCACTTAGGGGGGATGAAAAATGAATGAAATGAAGATGTTGTCCTATTCTCAGACCTACTGAATACACATATCAAATTTGGTGAAAATCGGTCGAGCCGTTTCGGAGCAGTTCAAGTTCGAACACCGTGACACGAGAATTTTATATATGTATTAGATTATGTTGTTGGAGTATTTAAGGAAGGTTACATATCTAAATAAATTTGGGAAATTGTTTTATTTTTGTTGCATTCAATAATCTATAAATGCTCGCTAAGCGGTTGTGAGAATTCCTTCGCAGATAACAAAGATTCTAACTAATCCAATTTGTAGTGGTCATTGCTCACTGAAGCAAGAGATCAAGCAATCGTGTGATTATGATGAATGCTAATATAATACAATCAGGAATCACATTTTACATTCAAACTCATGATTATTAA